GTCATTTTTCTGTTCTGTAAGATGGCTTTCAAGTAGTGACGTTTTTTATAGATTTGTAGAACTATTAGAGCCAATTAAATGTTTTTTGATTGAAAAAGAAAAGACATTTGAAATCCTAGACGATATAAATTTTGTGCAAGATCTTTTGTTTTTGACTGATATAATGCAACATTTAAAAAGTCTGAATTTGTTTCTTCAGGGAAAAGAAAAAAATATATCTGATCTTGCACAAACGATATTTAGTTTTCAAAAAAAAATTATTCTTTTTCAGAAAGATCTTAGCTTGAAAAAATTTAATCATTTTCCTCAAATGAAGAAGATGATTACTTCTAATCCTTCAATTCAGTATGATGACGATAAGATTGAATCATACTTGGACAAACTAAAGGATTTACAAAAAGACTTTCAAAAAAGGTTTAAAGATTTGCATGAACTAAAATCTTCTTTAGGATTTATAGTAAATCCTTTTTTAATTAATATTATTAGTAATGGCTGTCCAATTCCTGAAAAAATGCTTGAAGATATATCTCAATTTGAAATGGAACTACTAGATCTCCAAGAAGATCAAAATCTACTTATGCTGCATAAAACAATAACTTTTATGGAATTTTGGAAGATAGTTCCCGAGGTTAAGTATCCTCAACTTAAAAAGATTGCCATAAAATTCATTTCAATTTTTGGTTCAACGTATACATGTGAATCTTTATTCTCTACTATGAAATTTGTCAAATCAAAGTATCGTGCAAATCTAACCAACGAGCATTTGTCTGAATTACTTAGAACAGCCACTACAAGTTTGAAACCAGATTTTAAGAAACTTACCAGTAAAGTTATGAGTATTAGTTTGATCAAAGTAAAAAATTAATAAAATAATGAAAAAGTTATTTCTTGATTGTAAAAATCAAGTAAAATAATCTAATTTTAGTGTTGGTTTTTTAATTATTATTTCATTGATATAAGCATTGTTATAATTTTGTTAATCAAAAAAAAGTTTATGATCAGCATGCGCTTGTGCAAAAATCTATCATAAAAAAGATCAGTGTGTTGCACAGCACATGGCCAGTGTGTTGCACAGCACCTAATCGTGTGCTGTGCAAAATCAGTGTGATCATGTGATTGTCGAAAACTATAGAAATGATTTTTTAGTCTGAAGGGAATTTTATAAAATAAATCAGATATAATGGCATTGTAAACAAAATCTTTAAAGGAATAGTTTTTTCTTTAAAAAATTTATTGAGTGTTTTAAAACAATTAACTAAATTCAATTGTATACATATTTTACTTAAATCTTTAAAAAATGATATTTTGTATCCAAGAAATATCTAAATTTCATATTAAAATGATATTGTTGAATAGTGATACAACAATTATTTCTACCCCTTAGGAGCATATGGAATTTCCTAAATAATTTGTATTTTCTAAAAATATTTCTTTAAAAAATGATTTTAAATAGTGAATTACAAATTGTTGTTTTTATATGAAACCAAGAAAATGGGCTAGTACTAGAAATTTCTTATTTTTTGGGTAGTTTTTTTACTTATCTAGTACGAAAGTCTCTTAAAATTCAGATAATCAAAAGAAAGAGAATAAAAGTTTCTTATATAAAAAAACAAACATGAAGTTGTTGCGGCTCTTCGGCTCACGTAAGTATATAAATGCGGCTCTTGTGACAAAACGTTTGGCCAGCGCTGATCTATGCTGAATCTCCAACCGCTCTTCGAATAGGCATAACTACACAAGTATTATAAATAATCAATCACTGGAAAAATGAACTTTTTTATTTGTAATAAGCTTTTTTTAATTTAAAAAATGAGCTCTATATATTTATTTTTTTATTACCGGACAATTTCTACCAACAAAGTACTCTTTTGCCACCAAGTAGAACAAAATCTTTTAATTTTTTTTTTATTATTATTATTTTATTATTATTTTTTTTATTATTATTATTTTATTATTATTTTTTTTATTATTATTTTTTTTTTTTATTATTTATTTATTATTTTTTTTATACTGCTAATAAGTTGTCTTGCTTTCGCATTAGTTTTATATTTTTATTCCACTATTCTCTCAATACTACAACGCAGCATTTTTTTTTAGTTTTTCTGACATTTACATATCATTCAAATTGATGCAGATATCATTTTTGTGTTTTCTACACTCTATGTCATCTTTGTAGTTATCAGATGCTTTCTTTACGGTTTTGTTTGCGTTAAGTACTTACCAAAGAAATGGTGTCTTCATTGAAGAAGCAAAAATTGAGGTCAAACCACACACTGGTAAAACAACACCATTTTCCATTTAAGATTAATGTTTGATAAAGATAATAATTTTTTTTTAAGTAAACTTTTTAAAGATTTATTTCAAAAATTTTAACACTTTTATCATTTCTCCATCTTGACAGTTTTTTCTTAACAAACCTCCGCACATGCAGTGTAACAATTAACAAAATTTATTTTTTTCCTTTTAAATACTATAGATAATAATATAATAAATACTTTAGATTATCCTTAACCAAATCTTCTGTATGATACAAACAAATTCATCCAAGTTTACTCGTTACCTTTAAATTCTGAAGAAAGACCTTTATGTTTTGTTGTCGTAATTTTTCAGTTATTTTTTTCAGTTATAAGAACCTTTTTAGACGTAAGTTGTTTTGGTTTTATTAATTGCAGTTTAACTGTAACTCCGTTATTAAAACCTGTGATTTTTCAGTAGATTTGTAATACGTTGGAAAAACTCTGCTACACTCTCTTCATAGGCTTTATTTTATAGTGCAAGGCACAAAAATTATTAGAGAATAATTGTAGAGCTTTAATATGTCTCTCAATGGCTTTGAATGTAATAGACTCATATTCTCTTAATATGGGAACAAACGTAGTTCTTCTAGGAAAAAAAAAAGATGTGTTGGCGACCATGTTAATGTCATTGTTTTTTTCTTTGAGGCGTTTATATCTATTGCATTATTCACGGTCATTTTGAAATGAGGCAAAAGTTCTATGTTTAGGGACGCATACGTAAATTAATTTATAAAAGATCACAACTTTTAAAATGGCTGCTGTTCTTAACTACCACAAACATTTTATATGATAATCTTTTTGTTGTCGTGTTAAAAGAAACTAACTATTTTTATCATAAAATTGAAGTTAATCAGTGGTAAGATGACTTAGTTTCATAATTAAAAAGTTAATTATGCTAAAAATGATCTCGGCGTATTAAACCTTCGGTTTCCTTCAAAGCTATCTTAGTATAAGCTAGTAGTTAACTTTTCCAAAATCGGTTTTTTCGAATTTTAACTGTACAAAAATAAAGTATTTTAAATTTTACATCAATATTTACTCTATATATGGTGATTTTTGGGTTGCTCCTTCAATTTTTTTTTATATATTTATACCTACTATACTAATATACTTCTGCTCTTATCCAGAAGTAGGAATAAAAATAGTTTATATCAGGAAAAAGGTCAGATATCACTTTATCCTGATTTAAAACAGTGCACTTTTTTCTTTTCATAATCATATTATACAAATGCAAAGAAAAAAATAGACTTCAATCTTTAGACCTAGCCGTGAAAGCAGAAACAAATCCATTAAAAAAAGATTAATGTAACTACCTAAAATACCATAAATAGAGGGAATGTTGCAATATCTAATGTATAAAACTATATATTGATCAATATAGGGAAAAAATAGCTATAATAGATATATTTATATGACAAAATAATGCTCATTATACTGTATTTTATTATAGAATGATATGCAATACGTATGTCTATACTTAATATATTATTTTACTGTATTAGTTACTGTATAACAAAGTATTCAAACATCTGTGTCTGACAACAATGCATCTAAGTATAAATATTTTGATGCTGGGTTAGGTTTATACGGTGAACAAGGAGGTAAATAAATTCATCGCAAGTTAACACACTAAGTAGGATGTATCGATCTAATCCTTTTACAAATTGATAATAATATATCTTTAAATTCCACCATAAAAAAACAATTTGTCAAAACAAAGTTTTGAGAGCAATAAAAAAAAGAACAAAGAAATAAGGATACAGTAAAATAAATAGGTCCATACACAATGTAAACTATAGTTTACATTTTCTTTTTTTTTTTATTCACAAAATTACCATTTAAATATCTTTGTAGTGAAAAAAGTTTCATAATAATAAAAGTTTATGCTAAATAAAGTTTATTTCTTTTTTCTATTTGTTATTGGTCTTAATATTTTGTTTTGACATTTGTTATTTGATGGTAGTTTTGATGACTAGTTTTAAAGTTTATCTAGTAAAAAAGTGGGTAGGGGGGGTGGAGAAGCACGTGCCTCCTGCCCCCCTCCCCCGGTGTCGTTGGCCCTGAGTTTGTTAGTCTCTCAAAATGATTTATGTAAAACTGTTAAAATTCCATAAGAAAATAACTATATGCTTTATTAGTGTTTGTAAATTCTAAAAGTTAATTTCAGTTTTCAAAATATAACACTTTATGTATTATGTTGGTCAAAATATAACACTTTATGTATTATGTTGGGTTGCAATTTATTTCTGGCGTTCGTCATCTTATTTTTTCGACAATGCTATTATTTTACTTTTTTGATTGTATAAATATTGAAAAGTAATAATGACAACTTAGATCTTTAAGAAGTTTCAGACTTTTAAAATGAAAATATAGCATGCTTTTTTTTTTTTTTTTTTTAGTTTTTCTGTTATTTAGTTGCCCCAAGAAGTCCTTACGGTCTTGTCACAGAGCACCGCGGAAGTGCATTTAACCAGGAAGTTTACTCCTCCTTTCTTACCGTGACGTGAATATGTCTAAAGCTAGTTTTGAACCTAGATCTCCTGCTTATAAAGCAAGCGCTCTAACCACTGCGCCACGGCCACATATTTTAATGCAAAATAAAAACAAACTTAAACTTGTTTAAATAGCTTTTTTTAATTTGTTGTTTAAGCACAGAAAACGTATTTTAAAGATGATTGTATGAAATAATACTTTGTTTTATAGTTTTAGGAAAAAATACTTAAATTCTGATATTGAAATCCTAATAACTGAGGCCGTCATACTTGGTTAATACATAATGACAAATGCCCTTCAATAATCAAGTAAGTATATGTTTCAATATTCTATAAGAACATAGTTTTAAAAAAACCCTTTTAAATTCTATTCTAATTTTTGCTGACTTTAAACTTCATAGCCCTGATGTAAACTATAAACATAATTTTCAAAAATAGGAGCTTTAGTTTATTGATTTTTTTAGGAAACATTAAAAACAGACAATAACTTATAGAACAATTTGTTTTTGCTGATTCTCTCTTTAACGCATAAATAATGTCTGTTGAAAACCTAACTTTCGTTTAACATAAGAGTCACAATTTTCACTGACCCTAAAACGTTTATTTTAATGACGTTTAACTTGTACACATTTTTTAGCATAATGGGATACTTGTAAGATATATGTAGTTATTAATAATTAGAGCTTTATATTTTACAATAAATTGTTGTTTCCTTTATTCTATTTCCAGGTTTACCGCCTATATGTCTTTTGTATAACGCATTATTGGCTTAATTGTGGCACTTATTCAATATTACATGATACTCTCACAGATAATGTAAACATGGTGTGTCCTACAACTTTTGAAGTACTTCAAGGTAAGCTATATATTGTTACGTCTAACATTAATTTTTTTTTTTTTTTTTCAAATATAATAAAATAAACAACAATAATATAAGTACTACTATTATTACTATTAATTTATTATTCAAATACAAAAAAATAAAAAAATGTAAAGTAAGAACAAAATCTGAAAACTTTAGTATGTGGTTCGCATTCAAGTAATGGGTTATAACTGAAAAATGGTAGTAACTTTAAAAGAGCATAACTCTTTTGGTTTATGAGATAATACTTACTTTGAAAAAAAACAAAACAGTATTTTAGGTGGGCAATTTATTTACAAACTCATTTTTTTTAATTAAAAGATTCCGTCTAATATAGTCTAATCGGCGCCGAATCGACTAAGAAAGACGCTGTACAAGAGATTTTTCCATTTTAGAAACGCAATACTCTATACTGTTGCGCAATTTCTCAAAATTATAAGCTTTCCAGATATTCTCATATAATTTTCTTTTAAAAATACTCAAAAAATCCTCAATCGAGTGACATTCTGGCACATTTGCAAGATTTTCTTCTATTTTGACAAAAAACGATATTTTTCACATTCATGTAGTTTTGTACAGAATTTATGTAATGCATTTGTAAAATATGTGTTTTCCGTCAGAATGATGCGTTTTATTAAATGGAATTATTTGCTCCTCAAAAATTCATTTTTTTAAACTTCTTGGTTGATAGCAATGCCACTTTCTCTAATAATTGGTGAAAAAATGTTTTGCAATAAACAAATTGAAACAAGGTATTTCTTTTCATATTTTGCAATAGGGTTGCATTTGACAGTTGTTGGTGTTTCATAAACATCGCTGGAGAAATAAATAGTATTCCACTAATTAAAGAGTGGTTTAATAAAAAGTACAAATCGTCGTCAAGGATGAACAATTTATAAGAAGAAATTCAATTCAACCAATCCCACTTTGTTCAAGCTGCCTTTATTTCGTCACAAGTTCTTAATGGAATCTCCTTCTTCTTCTTTGGACTGATTAATGACTTTGTTTCTAAATTTTGCTGATATATACTTTGAATAAATTTAATTTTAGAGCTGCTTGTGTTTGCAATACGTCGTCTTAGTGGTCAAACATTTTTTTAAGTCATTCGATAATCCTTTTACATTATTTTATCAATTCCACTATTTCAATGACCTCTCAGGTGCCAAAAAAAGGTTTGGCGCGTGGTTTAATAGTGTATATAAACATATATGTATATATCTTTGCATATATATACCAATATATAAATATATGTATATATATATATATATATATATATATATATATATATATATATATATATATATATATATAAATATATATATATATATATATATATGTATATATATATATATATATATATATATATATATATATATATATATATATATATATATATATATATATATATATATATATATATATATATAAACAATAAAATTCAATGTACTTCCGCATTAATTAATTGCTTTGACATTTAGACGACGATCAAATACAGCTTAAGAGACGAGGTAGTAAAATTTGTAGTCGAAAGAGACTTTTTTCACATTAAAAGACTCTTTCGACTACACTAAAAGGATATATATATATATGTATGTATATATATATATATATATATCTATACATATATATATATATATATATATATATATATATATATATATATATATATATATATATATATATATATATATATATATATATATATATATATATATATATATATATATATATATATATTATATATATATATATATATATATATATATATATATATATATATATATATATATATATATATATATATATATATATATATATATATATATATATATATATATATATATATATATATATATGTATATATATATATATATATATAAATCTAAATTTCACAAGAAGAAGCTGGAGAAAGATTTTGCTGCTCCATTTGTTTTTTATGAGCAGTTAACTATAACTTCTTATATAGCATTTTTTTAAGCATCTAATTTTTTTTTTTTAAATGAGTATGTAACCCACCTTTGTTTGGGATTTTAAGTCTTAGAGCGATATATGTTTTTGAATCATTGGGATAGCAATATAAGTGTGTCGTTAGAGGCGTCGGTGTATCGTATTAAGAGAGGACTTAAGAAGTCACAAATTTACTATAAAAATATTTGTATAAATTTTAATAAATATTTATTTTAATAAATTTTTTATAAATTTTTTATAAATTGTATAAAAACTTTATTAAAATATATATTAAAGATAATGGACATTATTTTATTGTTAATGCTTACATTACAATGTTAAGAAATAATGATCTTTTAATTGCAAGATTTTTATTAATTAGTATTTAGTTGGCCCAAAAGTTTTTAACAGCCCTATCACAGAGTATAATATAGCATTTAACCAGAAATTTTACATCTCCATTTTTACTAATTGTTTATATATGGCCACCTATCACCACAGATAAACCTAATTTCTTGCTTATGCAATTATTTATATGATTAATAATTTTTTACAGAAGACTGGTTATAAAAACAGATTATTTTTCATGAATTTATTTTTCTAACAGAAAGAAGTCTGAAAATGATGCATATTGTTTCGTTAAGTATTGAGTGTTTTGCTTAGTGTTTTAAATTAAATTTTCAATGATACCTGAAATAAATCTTGCATATGAAAATGATGGCAGAAAAAGTAATAGGTCTGATCATAGTGCCATTACTTAAAAATGGTGGCGAGTTATTCATGAGCAAAACAATAGTATAAATTAAACGAACTTTTAACTTCTCTAAATCAATAAAACACAACCATTTTACTTAAATTAATATACCTCAAAATATATTATTGTAATATATTTAGTATGCAATTATTCTATCATTTACATAATTCTATATATTTAAATAACACACAACTGCATATTATGTTCATTAAAACTGTTTATTTACAGGGTTATTCATTCTTATATGCGCTTATAGTCATTTTTTATATGCGCCTTAAATCATTCTTATATGCGCATTTAGGGCTCGTCCATAAATTACGTCACGCTATAAGAGAGGGGTTAAGGGTTGGTGGTTTTGTGACCTCTCATACAAAACTTGATTCTTAAGTATTACAATTTTGTGACTAAGGATGAGGGAAAGGGAGGTGAAAATTGGTCAAAAATTGCGTAATTTATGGACGACCCCTTAGTCATTTTTTTATGCGCCTTTATTCATTCTTATATGCGCATTTATTCATTTTTATATCCGCCTTTATTCATTATTATATGCGTTTTACAAAACAATTGAAAAAAGCAATTTGAACAAAAAAAAAATCATTTAAGCAATTTGTTTTGAAGAAACAGTTTATTTTTTCAAAACAAATTTTTTTTATTTCGAGGTAAACGAAGTTAAAAATACTTAAAACGAAGATTTTTTACGTTCGTCGATGGTTTATTTAATTTAGTATTAGTTTTTTGTAATTTTATTAATAAATTTGTTGATTGATTAAGTTGTTATTTATCTAATTATTCATTTATCTAGATTTAAACTTTAATTATTTATAATTATTATTAATATCAAACTAGACATCTCTATCGATGGAATAGAAAATAGCAGTATCAATCATAAAACAGGGGATAATGTCACAAAAGAGCACATTGAAATGTTTAAGCATTTAATTAAAAGAAATCAATCTACAACAAGCATTTCCACTTCTCTTAATCTATTGAAGCGCACAGTTCAATATTTTGTCATTAAGTTAAACAGATGAAAATTCGACGACATGACTGCATTCAAGTTGTTTTCTGATAAAAAACGCGGTAAAAGACCTATAAACTCTCAAATAAAAAATATTATCAATTAATGCGTACAAAAAAACAACCTTTGCACGCAAGAAGCAATAAAAAAAATCATTTTGCAGCAGGCTTCAACTTGTCTCAGCTTACTATTTCAAGAATAATCAAACGCTTGGATTTAATAGAAAAATGCGTTGTGCATGTGCCGAAGAACGAAACTCATCACCAACTATTAATGCAGGCTATGCATTTGCAAGCAAAATAAACGGGTTTTTAGATTAAAAACTTATTTATATGGATGAAACTCGATTTAATGGGCACACTAACAGCACATATGGTTGTTTGCTAAGAGGTCCGCTAGCAATTTTATAGTCACCTGCAAATCGTGGTAAGAATGTTATTTTAATTTGTGCTATTTCAACAAAGGAAGTGCTTGCTTATAAAATAAAAACTTGAGGCTGGAATGCAGATTCATTTTGTACATTCATAACTACAATGATGGAACCAGCGATTAGGAATGCAAAGGTTGAAGCGCCAGTGCTTGTTATGGACAAATGTAAATTCTACTAGAGTCTTTCTATTAGGCAAACACTAACCTCTCATGGTATAGCTGTTAAGTATCATATTATATAGCTATTAAGTATTATAGCTATTAAGTATTGATGTTAATCATATAATTTTAAATAATTAAATTTAAATCTAGATAAATGAATAATTAGATAAATAATAACTTAATCAATCAAGAAATTTAATGGTAAAATTACAAAGAACTAATACTAAATTAAATAAACTATCCTTAAAAACAAAGAACTAATACTAAATTAAACAAACCATCGTCGAATGTAAAAAGTCTTCGTTTTAAGTATTTTTAACCTCGTTTACCTGGAAATAAGAAAAACTTGTTTCGATAAAATAAACTGTTTTTTCAAAACAAATTCCTTAAATGATTTTTATTTTGTTCAAATTGCTTTTTTTAATTGCTTTTGTAAAACGCATATAAGAATGAATAAAGGCGCATATAAAAATGAATAAATGCGCATTTAAGAATGAATAGAGGCGCATATAAAAATGAATAAATGCGCATATGAGAATGAATAAAGGCGCATATAAAAAAGAATAAATGCGCATATAAGAATGAATAAAGGCCCATATAAAAATGAATAAAGGCGCATATAAGAATAAATAACCCTGTAAGTTGCGAACATATATTAACTTTAGGCGATTATAATATGAAATGTTTAGAGTTAAAAGGCTAGATACACAAAACAATGCAATATATTTTCAACATTAGTACATACCTTATGAATTAAAACTCATGCACATCACATCCATGTTACAATACAATTATGAAAATGCCAAATCACTACATATAGTTCTGCAGATAGTTGATATTTACTCATATCATATTCAAGAGCATTCTCTTCTTCACACTGATATGGTTTCCAATAAGAAATAAAATAAACACTAATGTTCTTTTTTTAAAACCTAAGAAATATGCTTTGATAGATTATCTGACTGTTAGTGGCAGAATCATAACACATAGCGTATACATTTTGCCCAATGCCATTAACAAAAAGTATGTCTTTGATATCTGCAAACTCATTTTCTAGATCGGAAACAGTAGTAACATTTGTAAGAAAAGAGTATTCTTGCAGCCGTCAACAGGAATGTTTCAATATTTAACCACTTCAACGCCAGACTCTACTTGACTTTACTTGACTTTGGGTAACATAGATCTTGGTCATTTAAAGACCAAAGTCAGTAATTTTTCAATTAGGCCAATTGCACAAAATTTGCGTATACCTGAAATAAATGAACAAATGTGAACATAAAAAATAAACCATACAGAATATTGAAAACCATTATTTGATTTCTAATATATAAAAAATATACATTTTACCAGATCTCAATGCTAGGAACAAGCTGTTTTTCATCCTCCGCATAAAACCACACCAGAGAACAGGAAAGTTCTCAGATCTCATTTATGAATAAAGACACTTTCAGACACCTAAAAATAAAGGTATTAAATAAATTTTGATTGTGATGTGATATTTGTTGTTTTGGAAAATTTCTGTGTTCTAAATATAATAACAAAGCCCTTCGGGTTACCTTTAAATAAGAAAACATAATGTATATACATAGGCAATTTTAAATAGTCTTTTGCAAATTTGAAAAAACTCTTTTTTATGTCTTGTTTTCTTTTTTTTTAAACCTGGTACATATGAGTACCAAAAATTTGACTAATAGAAGTAGTTTAGATAAATTAACCAAATGCTAGTAAGTTAGTAATTATGTTGCAAGAATATTTTAACACTTATTTATATATAGAAGCTACAAATTATTTTAATATAAGTTATATTTAATATAAACTAATAATTTTTAGACTAGTAGGCATATTCTACATTTTACAATAGATATTATATACAGCTAAAAAATATTATTCACAAAACCAACCTACTTGTCTAATACCTTATATAAATTATACTTTGTATAACATATTTGTTGTTTTCTGTTAAATTGAAAAATTCATAGTATGGCAAGCATCTGATTATCTGCAGAGATGTTGCCTCTAGGTACTCTTACCCAATTTATGCCTACTGCTAGACTTCCTTTAAGATGGAATATTCTTTGGAGGTTGGATTCCATGATTTAGAAGAAAAAAAAAAAGTAAAAAACTTGGGCAACAAATGAAGCAGTTCTTCTTTAAAAGAAGAAAGTAAGAATATTAACTCAAAGAATTGAAAATGCTTATTAAATTCTTAAGCCAGCAACTCGAAGATGCATTAAGTTGTCGTAGGAGTTTAAGTTATGGTAGGAGTTAATTGGGATTAACAACTAGAAAACATCCAGGAAAGTAGGACTAGTTCCACAGATGATGTTGAATATCATGTTCCTTCCAGTTCCAGCACAATAGGTTCAACAAAAAAGCAGATAAATATTCTAGCAGGTTATATTGTATCTCTTGATTGTTTTATTACATGTGATTGTCGAGCATTCTCCGTGGTCGGAACAATGTCTCAGGATCTCGGTCACTCAGTAAAAGATTTTTCAATTTTTTAGAGCACAATTGGATGAATAAGGTGATCTTTTGTAAAATAGTGACTATGGCTGAAAAAGTAATTTCTTTACTGATGATCCACTTCTTCCGCATTGAACTAAAAAGTTTGGTGGTGGTGGGATGGAAAATTTGTTGGGCGTTCTAACAATTCGTTGAAAGTATGGGGAGCAACAGTTTAAATGCTTGTATTAAAGCTCCTAAAAATTGGAAACTGATTGAATATGTTAAGGGACTAGTATTTATTACTGCTTCATCCAACAGTGGTTTGAACATTAATACTTACACAATAATGAAAATCTTGACCGTAATCAAACATGGATAGCATACCCTTACCATGTGTTTGAATTCTTTTCTTCCACCAGTTTCATGAATGTATTTAGAAAAAGTGGAGAACCTAATGTAAGACTTTTTACTAGGTCTCATAAACAATGGTCAGCAGTCAACAAGGAGCTGTTCACTATAAAAAAAGCAATCTTTTCAACTGCAATTTTCTTATCAAACTTCATGAAGAAATGATTACTTAGAACTTCATGAAGGAATGATTACTTAGAACTCTTACATTAATGCTTAAATTTTCTGGGAAGAACAACTAAAACATAGCAGTTATATGTAAAGCTTTTTTTCCAAAGATGTATTTGTTTTAGTATCAATATTTTATTACTGCATAAGCGAAAAAAGTAGCTATAGACATAAGTTTATTTGTAGCATTTATATATGGACAGTTTTAAAATAAAGCTCTGTTAGCTAAACAAGCCTCAATGAATATTTTCAAGCTTCGGATTTAACAGTATCCAAGTCATACAAATGCAACTGTTGCAGTAAATTCGTTTCATAGCCACCTCAGGTATTTTTCAAAATATTTTTTAGGATTACCTTTCTTTGATTCCAGTGTCAACAACAAAAACAAGAATGACTTGGCAAGCACCCTGGAATGAGGCAAAAACCAAGACAAAAATTATTCAAAAGATTTGATTGTTTCATATTCAAATGTCACGATCCGTTGTCTTTTTTCATCATACAATGCACTACAGATCTTTTTAATCTAATTTTGAAAGAAGGCGAAAAAAAGACACATTTTAACTAAAAAAATTAATCAGAGGAGGAAATGAATTTAACTTATCTTGAAATGAAGCATAAGATTTGTCAAATAAAGGTCAGCGATTGCGCAGAACAAGCAATATGCGGGAAGCTGCATGGCAGTCTTTACCAAAAATTTTAACTTGTAACGTTTCCAATGCCTTAAGCGATGACTTACAAACACTGGTCTTTTTAATTAATGGATTAAAATGACATTTAAGTTTATTTAACAATATCTGCAAGATATTGTTTAATTTGGTTACTGTTCATGGTGTTGCTAATATTGCTAACAATAGTACTTTGAACTGCAGTAAACTTTTACTGTAAGAAGACACTATATATATAATTTTTTAAGATGATCTATTGAATGCGTTATGTGACTTTGACAGTCATTAGCTGTGGTAATTTCCCATACCCATGCATATTGTCTCAATTGTAAAGTGTGCTGCATGTACATGAGTACCCTCTTGATTTGAGAAATTGATTTCTTGTTGAAAATGCTATATCAGCAGGTATGAGATAAAATTTGGTTCACACATCATCTGCTACACAGTTGCTCTTTGTGGAATATCACTGATATGATAGCTTGTGTGTTTTCCAATGTTATAGAGTAGATGTGGCACATTGTGAAAAGGAATATGACACATAAGCATGTTATAAATTAACGCACTAATACTTAATGAGTAGATTTTAGAAATATCAACATATCATTATGCAGGGCTTTTATCAACAGGTTTTTACGAATCACTATTAACGTTTTTCATCATGCTAAACTCATCTTACAGTACGTTTATATAAAGTTTTTAAGTTCCTTAAATTTTTTAATATTATTTGAACATCCACTCTATTAGCTAAATGTTGTTCTCCTTTAATTAAAAATTGTTAAAGAATGAATTATAAAAGTTATAAGTGCCATAAAAGTAATAACTATTATTGTGTCATTACTTTTATGATGCAGTTAGTTATTAGAGTGTTAATAGTTTTGAAGTTGTAAGTTTATTGTTCTATTTTTTATAACATTTTCTGAAAATCATTCTTTTTATTGCAGACTTGAAATTTTCCATGATAGGTTCTCATCAAATATTACTCCCAAAAAGTTTGAATGATTTACTCGATATATTTCATTTTTATTGATTGACAGTTTTGGCATCTTTAATGGAAGATTAGTTGATTGTCTTATTTTATGGAAGAGAGTATTTTTACTTTTAACTTGTTTTTTTCACAATTTAATAATAACTTATTAGCAATAAACCATTGGTTACAGCTTTTTAGTTCAGTGTTCGTTTTTTCGAACAATATTTTTACATCAGAATTGTTGTAGAATAAATTTATATTGTCTGCATACATAATTGACGATACTTTATGATAAGCTTTATTCATATCATTGATATATGTTAAAAATAATAAGGTCTTAAAATTGAACCGTGTGGGACTCCGCAAACAATATTAAGAGCTCCTGACTCCTCCAGTACACCAAACTGTTTCTTATTAAAAAGATAACTCTTATATGTTAGGCTTTTAATGCCGTATTAAGTTGAATATACCTGCCGTATGATGTTTATTTATAATAATAAATTTTTTTCAGACCATAAATTGTTCTATAAATATTTTCGTTTCTGTTTTGTTAAAATAAAACTAAATATGTATATCTTATTTATATTCTATAGGTGGTTTTGTTAATCGTATTGTAGCATATTCCTTTGATACACAAAATGGGATGTATAGAATTGAAGGCTTTGTTAAAAATATTAACTTTTCAATTGGAAACATTCAAAACAGTTCATTTAATCCAAGTAAGTCACATATTGTTTTATTATATGCTTTTTTTATTTATCTAACTTTTTTCCACACTTGTGAACACACTTGTGAAAGTTTTCTTAAATTCCATATATTAAAATATGAAATAGATGAGCTAAAGTAATTTTTTGCCTGTTTTTTTAATTGCATTAATTTGGAATACAGAAAGTTTGGTAAATAATTAAGATTAAAATATAAAATAAAGTGTGTTTGAATAATTTACACAAAAAGTTTTCATTCACTGTGATTAATTGTGAAAAATATTTTAGAATAGAAGTAATATTAGTTTGGTGATAAATGTTTTTAATTGGTAAATAGTAATTATAGTTTTTTAAGTGGTATGTAATTTGCTTTTAAAAAATAGTTTTTATTTTAAGTTTTGTTAATTTTTTTTAACTTCTTTATTAACATTTTTGTATTATCGACTATACAGTATTTTTCCAGTGAATAACACAGGTGCACTAAATCCCAATACGTCAAAAACACTGTTGATTGCAGATAGAACTTTTTTCTTTGTTAAATTTTCTTTATTTCCGTTATTGATGCAAGTAGTGAATTTAATTGACAATCTATCTGTATGTTTGTTCCAAGGATGTTCAAGTATTTTATTTGATTTGTCTTCAACATTATTTTTCAATTTTCTCAGGTTGCTATGCCATTTGTGCAATTGAAAACCACCTTCATTTAAGGTTTGTGTTAATTCATATTAAAACCTGATAAGTTCTTCTTCCGTTTCTCCACCCACTTGTAGATCATCGACATTAGTATCTTCTTCCAAGGCAACCACTGTTTTTGGTAAATATCCTTGTATTTTGATACATGTTTTTTATTAGTAGCGCCGAGAATGCCAGGATTTGAACTGAAACCAAAAATTACTCTTGTAAATTGCAACTCCATTAAACTTATTTTCTTTAAGTCTTCATATTAAATTAGTTGTTGTGCATCTCTATCCATATCTTGAATTCGAATTTTTCGAAATGCTTTCTAAAAATCAGCTAAAACGCAGATTTTGTTCATCTGATTTTGTATTAGAATGTCAAATATTAGTGGTTACAGCGAGGGTCCCACTTCTAGACAATCATTCAATGAAAGTGATTGAGCATCTTTTTCTGCTGAACAATCATAAACAACTCGTATTTTTGTTGATGCATTTTCCTTGATCACAGCTTGAAGAGAATTGTAATGAAAAACTTCTCCCGTAGGTTTTTCTGGCACTTTTTCCAGTATTCCCTCACTGATCTGTTCCATCATTATTTTATTATACTGCACTAGTTTTTTAAATTTTTCGAATCGAATAGTTGTACTTTTTAATCTTTTAATTGCCAGATCCCTGTTGTTTGGCAGTTTAACAACATCTTTTTTCCAAGGCATTCTAGTTTCATAATAACCTTCGTTTGTTTGGTGTAGCTTTTTGCTAAAGTCTAGTTGAAATATCAATTCATTGATTGTGTCTGACAATCCAAGTACTTTAAGACTACACATTTGCTCGAACTCACCACGACCAGTGTTTATTAAAAGCCTCTTTTCAATACCAGAACTTAATTCTATTTGTCTCCCAGAGAGAGTCCATCCAAACATAATTACAGGGTTTTGCAAAGTTATAAGTGCATTTATATAATTAATTTTAACTCATATTTTAAATATCAATGGAAAGAAAAGTACGGAAAACAATTACAGCAAAAGTTAAAAATACGATTATTTCAATGAGAAATTGTGAAAAATATTCAATCAAGGAAATATCCAACGCTTGTAATTTAACTCGAAATGCTGTTGGTCGTTATATAAAAAATAGTGATAATTCTAAAGTTTCTTTAACAGTCATATCGGGATTAGCATTTCTCGTGGATTTGAAATTGGATTTTAACATTTAAAAGAACCTTTCGATTGGGTTCAATTTAGGGGAGTATGGTACTAAAAACTTGCGATTAATATTTTTTATATAATATCCTCGCTGTAATACCCTTCACGTCATCTACAGTAAAAAGAAAAGAAACGTATAAAATCAAAAATTCTATTAATGCAAACATTGAATAGACAATATTTAATTTCGTGGTCTGTAACAATGCCGTAGTTCAAAAAGAAATTCAAATGCAAATTTTAGAACAACATGGTAAAAACGTTTCAATCTCGTTTGTTTCCCGTAAATTAAAGAAATTAAATTTGACACGAAAAAGATTAGCAATCTTTCCTCAAGAAAGAAACATCATGGAAAGAATAAATCAGAGATCAATTTTTGCGGCAGAAGTTGCTAGAATTGCTGATTCATATTTGGTTTTTTTAGACGAAACCGGATTCAATAAACATACAGTGCGCTCATATAGCTATTCTCCAAAAGACAAAAAAGCGTACTTGACAGTTCCTGCAAATAAAGGACAAAATGTTAGCCTCATGTGCTTAATTTCCACTTTAGGAGTTGAATGTTACCAATACAAAAGCGGCGCATACAAAACACAATCATTTATTGATTTCATCAACAACAAACTAGTACCATTCTTTGCAGTAAATCCAAATAAAATTCTTATCCTCGATAATGCAAAATTTCATAAAGCAGCTGCAGTACTTCAATTACTAAGAGAAAAAAATATTAATCACAAGTTTTTAGTACGATACTCCCCTAAATTGAACCTAATCGAAAAGTTCTTTTAAATGTTAAAATCCAATTTCAAATCCACGAGAAATGCTAATCCCGATATGACTGTTAAAGAAACTCTAGAATATATTTTATCACCTGATAATAATTATAGTCAACAGTGCAATGTCTTTTATGTAAATATGAGAAGATGGTTGGAAAAGGCAGTAAGAAGAGAAGAATTTATCTAATTAAAATAATGTATATTTTTGCATGCCTTTTTAAAATATTATGATTAAATAATGTATAATATTTTTCAAAAATTATGAAAGTGTTTAATCTAGAAAAGTTATTGATATATAACAAAATGCTAAATCAAGTAAAAATGTAAAGAGTTTTCACTAACTAATCACTTTTTAGAAAAAAAAAAAAAAAAAACAAAAAACAAAAAAAACACTTATTGATTGCTATACTGTAATTTAATTTAAAATTTTGCTAATTATTAAAGCTAAAAAAATAATTTCCAAAAAATTGAAAATGGACTGATAACTTTGCAAGCGCGCACTTATAACTTTGCAACCGTGCACTTATAACTTTGCAAACATGCACTTACAACTTTGCAAAACCCTGTAATTCAGCTTTGGGATCTTTATCCGGATTTTTTATAAGAACCATCGGTTCGGTATTTTTTATTCGTTGATAATCAGCAGCATCAAGTACTATGTGAACCGGTTGGATTTCATTGTTTTCTCCATCATTGCTAAATTTCAGTCTCGTTAGTCTTTTTTGCCTCCTTAATTTTTTTTTTTTTTTTTTCTATGTATTTAGGTGCTCCCAGATGTCCTTACGGTCTTATCATAGAGCACCGCGGGTGAGCATTTAACAGGAAGTTTACGCCTCCTTCCGTACCAATGTCGCTTGTTGGGCTAGAGCTGGCATCGAACCTGGGACCTCTGAGTTCTGAGCCAGAACTCTAACCACTGCGCCACAGCTGCTCAATCATCGCATTGAGTAAAAAACTCAGTGTTTTCTTTTCTGTGTTGATGCATTCAATCTTGATACGAAATTCTGGTATTGTTATTGATTCTAGCGTAACATTATTTATTTTCAAACGCTTGTTTACCGTCCCATATAGTTGTTCAATGGTTTTACGTTCCCTTCGTGTAGGTTTCATCTTCAGTTTTGTTATCAGGTTTGTACATATATAAGAACTTTCAGCACCTGTATGCAACATTATCCTTGCTTTTTCACCATTTACCTTTAACATTACTGTCGGGTAAACAGTTGTACTTGCATTAAACACTGTTCCCATGTTTTCTTATTTATTTTACATTTTATCGTCCATTGCTGCATTACGTTTTGACAAATTGACGTGTGATGTTTTTTGTTACACTTTCTGCATCCTCTTGATTGACAATTCGCCGCGGATATATATGTATCAGATACCAGATCAGAAATAATTTAAAAACTTTGCATTTTTTTTTTTAATAATTGGTAGACTGTTTGCCCCAATGTTATATTATATAACTAGATGTATAGCTAGTGGGATTTTATTGGACAAAAAGTAAAGCATTTTTTTTTTTGTTTATAACAATAGTCCGCCATTTGTAAAAAGGACAGAAGCTGAAGCTAAAGTGTGGAATAAGTTAATAATATGCGTCAAAAATTCCCAATAATTAAAAATAATTCAAAAACACGTTTTAACAATTATAAAATACTTTTAAAAGTTTTTTTAAGAGCCTATGTAAATCAAAATGTATTTTAATTCATAAAAATGCTTCAAAATAGTAAGACGTTTTACTTTTCTATTCAAAACTTTAATCTCTTTTCAATCGAAAACAAATTAAGGAATCATAAATTATTATTTTACAAGTATTATAACTTCTGCTTAACACTTTTACGTAAATAGTATTTAAATTAAAAATATATTTACTTCACATAAGAAAAGAAAAGTTAAAAATATTTGTTTACAAATTTAATTCGCCATTTGTAAAAAAGGGAAAAAAGCGGCCTCACTTTTCGTAATGAAATTATACATCTAGTTATATAATATATCCTAATCCTAAATCCAAAGCCTAAGTTGATGAGCAGCACTCCGTTGCGAGTTAGGCTATAAGATAGTCGAGTAGCAACACTCCCTTGTAGTAGCAAGCTATAAGATAGTCAATGTAGCTACACTCCGCGCATGTTTTAAAAATTTATTTTAATAAAAATAAAACAAAAACACCATTTATTAAAAAAAAATTTTTAGTCATTACTGGTAGCAGGAAAAAATCATCCGGGAAAAAAATCCCACCGGAAAAAATCCCCCCTCCCCATAAAAAATTCCCCCGAAAAAATCGCCGAGAAAAAATCTCTCGTAAAAAATATCCCCTTCCCCCCTCCCCCCAAAAAAAAACGTTATTAAAACTTATCAATATAATAGTTATATTTATTTATTTATCGGTGAATCGCGAACTACGAACTGTGAACTGCTATCAAGTAAAATACGAACTATTTTGCGAAACAAAGCAAAATTTAAATACCATTATTTTTACGATAAAAATAATAACAAAAAAAACTCTCCTATTCTTAATTATCCATTTTCAAGCTTTATTTAAAATTAAATTTTTATTTTTATTTTGTAAAGCATGTACAAAGTGTTGCTATATCGATTATATTATAGCCTGACTCACCACGGAGTGCTGCTGCATCGACTGACAAATAGCCTAAATCGCATATAAAAACTTAAATTAAATTAAGAAATAAATATAACTATATATTAATAATTTTTAAGTAAAAAAAAATCTTTTTTTGGGGGGATTTTTTCCGGGGGGATTTTTTCTCGGGGAGACTTTTTCCAGGGGGATTTTATCTTGAGGAAATTCTCAGGGGATTATTTTGGGGGGATTTTTTCCTAGAACCGTCATTACTATTGCGGTTTTTTAAAAAAACAATAAAATTTAATGCACTTCCGAAATAATTTAATTGCTTTAACATTTCGACGACAATAAAACGTAGCTTAAATATCGAGGTAGCAAAATTGTAGTCGAAAGAGACTACAATTATAGATCTTACGTTTCTGAGGCAAGTGCGCTACCACTGCGCCACGACTGCTTCATTAAAAGTCTCTATCGGCTAAGATATAAGAATTTCGTTTAATAGTGGTTATAAACCTTTCTCAACTCTATAACTTTGAAAAACAAACCTTGACAAGCGCTACACAAAAAAACAAGTTGAACGGGGTACTACAAGGATCATGGTGTTTTAAACATAAACGATACCTTAATTGTAAAACTATCTAGATGCAAAAGTAAACAATTTTGGCATCTCTTAAGTTAGTTTGAACATAGGTGTAATAAATTGAAAGGATCCATTCTCATATTTTTTTATATGCCACAATTTCAACCAAAAAACAATAAAATATTAAGACATTTGGAAGTAAATTTATAAATTTAACTTTTAGAAAAAGTATTATTTTCATAAACGATGCGCTAAATTTTATTATGATGATAATATTTTGGATTAATATACTTAATACTTTGCAATAATTAATTATAAATTAATGCAAAGAGTATAAATTTTTAGCCTTAGAGTCTTTGTGCTTTTATTATAGAAAAAAGTTCTACTAAAAAACAGCTCTAGCATATCAGTACTAACAAATCAAATACTAGCAAATAATCAGTAACAATAATTTTGATACTTATGAATACTTTTTCAAAATAAGAATAAAAAATCACCTGTATTTATCACTAAAAAAAATAAAGTTTACTACAGTTTGTATAATAAATTTATTAATTGATGTTTATAAGTCTGTCAATATATAAAGTCTGATTATTATATAATCTATAAAAATCTTATAAAAACGGACAATACCAAACAGACAAAACTATAATGCTTGTATTAAATTTAACATAAAAATATATATACTAGATACAAAACTGTAACAAAAAGCAACTAAAACGAAAATTCTAAACTATTTAACAACAAATAAATAGTTTCTTTATTCCTTAAAAACATGTGTACAAACTTTTTCAGCTATTTTTACTTTATCATTAACTTTTCTATAATAAAATACTTTCTAAACTAAATATTTAAACGTTGAAAAACTCAAATAGACTTTAAGTCTTACGTAACCTCAAACAACATTAGTGTTATGTCTAATCCTAATCTTACGGAAAATGAATTATTAGACGCAGTCTCTTTATTAAAGCCCAAAAAAGGTGTAGGTTTCGATTCTATTATTAGTAATGTCGTTATTAAATCGATAAAATACATAACAATTCCATTATAACATATTTTTAATTTATCTTTAAAACATGGTGTTTTTCCAGAAAACCTAAAAATTGCAAAAATCATTCCAATTTTAAAGTCAGGCGATCCTTCTGAAGTTGCAAATTATCGTCCAATCTCAACTCTTAATTGTTTTTCTAAAAGATTAGAGCGAGTTATGTATAAAAGGCTTTATTCTTTTTTAAATGTAAATAATATTCTTTACCATAAACAATTTGGATTCAAATCTGGCCATTCCACCGATCATGCAATCATTCACTTTGTTCAGGACATATTTAAATCGTTTGATGAGGGCAAGTATACCCTAGGTCTTTTTATCGAATTAAGAAAAGCTTTCGATACAGTCAATCATCAAATCCTTCTATTGAAACTCAAAAGTTATGGTATAAAAAATACTAACTTTTCCTGGTTCGAGAGTCATCTGACCAATAGGAAGCAGTATATAGTTTATGATGAAGGAAAAACTAATTATGAGACAATTAAATGTGGTGTTCTTCAAGGATCAATTTTAGGGTCACTTCTATTTCTTGTTTATATAAACGATTTAAATAAATTTTCTAACATTTTAAATACAATTTTATTTGCAGATGATACGAGGTTGTTTTATTTCAATAAAGATATCAATATATTATTCCAAACATTAAACAAAGAACTAGACAAACTAACCCAATGGTTTAAATCAAAAAAGTTATCTTTAAATATTACTTAAACAAAATACACTTTATTCCATTGCCTATATAAAAAATCAGATATTTCCTTAGAACTCCCAGACCTTTTTATTGACAATCAATTAATAGAGAGCAATCAATAAAGTTTTTAGGCGTGTTTCTAGACGAAAATGTAACCTGGAGGGAACACATAGGTGTAGTTGAAGATAAAATATCAAAAAATTTAGGAATAATGTACAAAGCAAAGCAGTTATTACATCGATCTTGTTTAAAAAACATTTACTTTTCTTTTATTCATTGCTACTTAAGTTATGCGAACATTGCTTGGTGTAGCACTAACTCGACAAAAATAAAAAGATTGTTTTGCAAACCAAAAACAGGCTATAAGGATAATTTCAAACGTAGATCGTTTTTCACACACACAAACACTTTTTAATGAACTCAATATCCTAAATGTATATAAACTAAACCTCTATCAAGTTCTTATTTTTATGTTCAAATTTGATAAAAATATATTACCAATCTTATTTTATTCAATTTTTGAAAAAATAAATCACATATACCCTACAAGATTTTCAAAATACATCTACATTCAATCCAAAACTTTTTATTCCGCTACTAAATTCTCTATTGTAAACCGAGGACCAAAATTGTGGAACATAATATTAAATAATGAAATGAAAACTAATTATTCTCTAAATCAATTCAAAACAAAACTTAAGCAATTACTTTTGTTAACTAAAAATGAATTAAATTTTTTCTAATAAAACTTCTTTATATAAGAAATCAATAATTAATAGTTAATTAATTAATTACTTTAGATTATTAATACATAATTAATCAACAATTGTACATATGTTTTTATTATTTTAAATGATAATCTTCTTTTTGAGAAATTTATTATTTATTTTTGCGTTATTTATTAATCTTTTACTTTTATTTTATACTGTTTATTTGCTTTTACTTAATTGGCAATGAAAAGTATTATAAATATTATTAAATAAGTTAAACTATAAAATGCTCCAATAAAATGTTTTTATATAAAATCATATCTTCTTATTTTTTCAAACCAAGTCTTAAATGTTATTTTTGTCATTTTAATATTTTATTAAATTTTGTTTCTTTTATTTTACCAAACAATTGTTAAATCTTATTATTTGAAAAACTATAAATTTTAAACGATATGCGATATATTTAAATTTTCTTTTATAATATAAATCAGAGATATATACATTGAAACTATATTTTATTGTCAAACTATATTTTGTCTAGTAATGACGCATTTTTTGGGGCTTAATGATAAGACTAAATTTGTCTTCTTCTAGCCCCGGTCATGTAATTATTTTGTTTATAAGTTACGACTGTAAATTTATTTTTTTTATCGGCAAAAGTGTAAATAAATAAAAAAAAAAAATAGGCTCAAATCAAAACACCTTTTTATCTACCAATAGGAAACAAAACTGTAAAAAATATATATGAAAAATTTAATTAAATATTTTAGAATATAAATAGTTCAAAAATGTTTAGTTTTGGCTCATTGGCCACAGTCTTAAAAAATGCTTACACTTATTATTGGTCTATATAAAGAAGATTTTTTTATGTTTAGAAAACTCTATCAACATGCTTGTGTTATTTTATGAATTTTTGCAGAAAACGATAGTTTACTTGTACAAGATAATAAACTAAATTTAAATTTTCTACATTTATAAACATTTACGTTTGCAGTTTATTATAAAATATAATAGTAAAATGTAGAAGATAAAAATGACTAAAATCAATTAAATTATGACAGCTACTCTATAATTTCAACCACCTTTAATATTAAAAAATAACTTATGGCTTTCTTATAAAATTACTCAAAAAAATTTGAACTATATAAATAATATTATAAACAGTTACAAAGTTGCTCAGTTAAAATTGAACTATTAATAATAAACTGAAATACTTTAGTGATACAGTGATGTCACAGTACAAATATTACATACATTTTGAAAACAATCAATGCTAAACATTATCTTTTTGCTTAGTCTGATATCAAAGTATATACTTTTATAAACAATAAAAAGGAGCACAATAAAAAAATAACTTTTGTAAAAGTATTTAAGACTAATACTTATTTAATTTAAAATATTAATTAGTAAATGTTTTCATTAAATAATAAATATAATATCAATGAATAATGATTTTGTTAAATTTGTTAATAAAACAACAAATAAACATCCAACGTTTGTAGTTGAAAGTATTTTATTATTTAATGTTACTACTTAGGTAACGGAAATGGTTTCCTCTATGCAAGTGAGAATACAAATAATACATTTGTTTTAAATGTAACTGAAAGCTTTTATTCTAATATAGAGAATTTTGACATTCTTGTAGCAATGGCATATGAAATTATAAATGGAAGTTATGGTAACACTTTTTAGTAATTTAATTTTTGTTTTTCTTTTTGTTTTTATAATATAATTATTTTTTATTAATATAATTGTTTATCATCTTTTTTTTGTTTGAAAGTAGAATTAAATTAAATTAACAACACTTTTTAGTTATATAACACATAAACTTGAAAAAAATAAAAGTATAATTATTGGTAATAATAATAATATATTTAATTATAATTATAGTTACATAAAATTGCTTGACCATCCATGTATACTAAGTTATAAATGGCGTTTATACTTTGTTATTACTTTTTAGCATAGCAACAACAACTTTCAGTGCCATGAAATGCAAGTTCAGTGCCATGGCTACTGGGTTTAAGGCCCACCAAAACCTGTCATTAGGGCACAAAAATGTTTAAAATTTTCTATTAAGTAATAAAATTGCATCTTAACTTGTAAAGAATAACTGTTCATAGATATCATTTGAGACCATCGTCTGGTAATAGGTGTCCCTAAAGCCCGCTTTAAATCTTGCAGGAACTTTCCTTTTCCTGGGCAGAGCTGATTCGTCTATTATTAGAATTGGATTCATGGATTCAGCCTTTCTAAAGATGAGTTGGCTTCCCTGAAGCCGATTGTTTGAATCTACTCGGATGGTAAGTTGGAATTAAGAGAGACGTCTTTCACAATCAAAAACAGATTTTTGTTTTTAGTTGTGGCTGTCTCATAAAATCCACAAAAATCCTCATTAGTTTGTAACTAATCATTCAGAGAATGGAAAGATATTGATACCTAAACAATTTAAAAATTTAATTAAAGTTTCAATGAATTATTGGTTCGGTAAATAGTTACTGCTCTTTTCTTGTGTTATCAGACGATTCATCCATCACGAATCCAAAGAAATCCCTTTTTTCAATTGTGTCTGATAATTCAAGTTGGATAACTTACGAAATATCCAACAAAATTTCATTTTTGACATCTGGAGATATCCACTTATAATTTTCTTGCCAATTCATTCATTTTTTCGAAACCAGTACATCCATAAACCTTAAAAACTAGAATAGAATCGAAGACTCTTTTCTTTTGTATCTGACGATTAAGCCTTGACAGCCAAAAAAAATCAGACAATAAAAAATATGATCAAGTGCTTTCCTTGCGTCCTTTATATCTTGTAGATGTTGAGTAAAAGGTTTATTGGAAACTGTAGAATCTGACGTGCTTGTAAAAATCATTTCATTGGCGGCTTGGTAAAAATGGCTTGCTTGTAAACACTAGGCTTAATCAAATCTTGCACTGAGTCATTTCAGCAGTCTGGTAGGTTTGCTGCTCATGCAAAGTTGTTTAGCAATGTTAATCAAAAGCCACTATTGGTGGGCCTGAAAACATTCTGATTTTAGAAATAATTCCACTAATGTTTTTGCATATATATACATATATATACATATATATATATATATATATATATATATATATATATATATATATATATATATATATATATATATATATATATATATATATATATATATATATATATAAATAAATATGTGTGTGTGCAAAATATTCTTTTTTTTATCTTTTTTTATATTTTTTTAGATTTGACGGTGACTGATTATTTGCAGAATAATTATGCATATTATGAACAAACGTTTTATTCATCTTCATATAGATGGCGTATTTACAATGCAAAATTTCCAGTTGTTGGTAATTTTGTTGTAAGTTTACTTAAAATACTTTTTTATATATGTGTTTATTTAAATAAAAAAAATATATTTAATAATAATAATAAATAAAAATAAAATATTTTTTTATATATGTGTTTATTATATATTATGCATTTATTATATATTATGTATCTATTATATATTATGTTAAACTTTCTTGTAAGCATTATATATTTCAAAAACAACAGCCTTAGTCTTGCTCTCCTCATCTAATGTATAATAGAATTTTTCATTTAGAGCTTTTAAATTGACAGCTGTACAACGACATTTTTAAAAACTGTATTGATTTTCAGAGAGTTCCGTCAACACTCTTACCCTGACGGTTGTGAGTGTTGATAGAAGACTTGAAAAGTGAAATAAATTATATGAGACAGGAAAACATGAGAGTGGCATTCGTTGCAGAGTCAGTCAGTGTTACCAACGTTTGTAAAAGTTGCAACCATAGATGATATTTCCCAGTTGGCAGAAAAACAATACCTAAATAATAATTTAAAAAAAATTGAAAAGAACTTTGCAAAAACACAAATGACAGAAATTTTCTGGACCGCAAACTGTAAAAGAGTTTTGTTGAAAAATGAATTTAGCAATGATAGCCAAAAAGTGTTTTGAATATCGTACAATCGATTAACCTGTTTAACTGGAATGGCATGATTAGTATGACTATTATATTCAAGAATGAACTTAAAGGAAATGCTTACTGCAAATCATTCTTGGGAGAGGTAATAAAATTAAACCTAAAATAGATCGTTCAACTTACTTTTGTTATTAAATTAGTTAAAGATTTTGCATAAGTCTTAAGAGCCTTACTTCTAATGGTAGGATATGAGATTTAGTAAATAGGGATTAAAGGAGATAAGCATCAGAAAGAATCAGACCTTTCATATAAAATTGATTTCTAGCTTAGCATAACAAATTTAGTCTTATTATAAAACTTCATTTGATTTTTTGCAATCATAAAATGGTACTCAAGCAAGTTGTTCTTTAAAAAAGATTAAAAAAAATATTATATTTTGATATAGAAACTTCACAAAAATGAAAAAAACGATGCAGTAGAATGAGACTTGACTTAAAACTGACAAAAAAGAACGAAATCTACCATATCTGCTTTGATATAGGTTATATAGAAGGTGCATTCATCCGCAGAGAAACAAAAGACAAAATCCCAAGGACTACTACATCGAAAAACACAAAAGGAGTCTTAGTTAGCTTTTTTGTAGCAGGAAGTAGTACATTAACAATTCTGTACTTCTCAACCTGAAATAATAAATACAGAGTTGTTATTGTCCAAGGGCAATAACAGCTCTGTATTTATAAACTCATTTCATTTTCAAAACTTTTAAGTTTATAAACTCTGTTTTTATAAACTCAAAAGTTTTGAAGTTTAGTGCAAGTAGGATGAGCTGTGGATAAGTAGTAGGTTAGTGGTGTTAGAGTCGAGCTATATAGTGTGATGAACATTTAGGTTACAAACAAACAACAATACTAGGAGAAGGATAAATTAACATCCAAAAGTGTAGTCTAGATAAGAGTAATAAAACAATAAAAAAACTAATTAAGTAAAAAGGTGCCGAACAAAAACACATAAAAGGATAATCAGAGGATTCAAACTTAATTTTTCAGGAAATATATTAAGTTAGGCCCGGAATGGCGTGCAATCGAGCGCTATTGCTGACCCTGCATATAATTTTATTTTTTGATAACTTGACCACAACTGTTTCGATCATTAAATAATTTTAAACATTTTGGAAATGTGCTGAAATAAGAAATGCTAGCTAAACTAAAACTAGGAAAAAAAACTTTAAAGATATTCATGAAATAAGAAAATTCCTTCCGAAAATGAAAATATATAAACACTAAAATAAAACTCAAAAAATTCTTACTCGAAATAAAACAATTATATTGCCGTTTTATTTTTGTTTAAAAGTTAAAAAAAATGTTTGTTTTTTTGTTTTTTCTTTTTTTAATTGAAATTCTAAAAAAAAAAATAGGTTTTAAAATTGTCCATGCTACCGTTAAAACGCTGTCGTAAATTACAAATCGTAAAAAATATAGACGTTCGCCAATAAATATCATGATGAATTTAAATCTTTATATATATATATATATATATATATATATATATATATATATATATATATATATATATATATATATATATATATATATATATATTTTTTTTTTTAAAGGATAACATCTTGTGTGAGAGTATATTTATATATTATTTTAAAACATCAAAAATACGATTTCTCTCAACACTTATAATTTTTTTATTATTATAGAAATTTTCGCTGGATTTTAGATACCAGCTTCTTCAGCTTATTAAATGTTACAGTAATTAATAAAATCGTTATAATTTAAATTAAAACGTTGCTATTGACGTCAGCGGTTGAATGGCTTCTTTTTCGCTGAAATTTAAAAAATGGCGTCCAAAACTTAGTTTTTACGTATTGACCCTCATCGAGATTAATCCCGCCATTTTTTGCAGAACACATGTTTTTTTGTATTTCTAGGGCTTCCCCAACTTTTCTTTCAAATTTTTTATTTTCTACTTTCAATGTTTTTGTTTGTTCCCAAATAATTTCTTTTTTGCAAAATGTTTTATGCAGAGCTAATGCGGATTGATGCTGCTTATTTTCATCAATGCTTTTTTGGTGTTGATGCATTCGTGTGTTTACTTTCATTTTTGTTTCGCCTACATACACTTTTGAACAGTTGCATTTGATTATATATGTTCCTGGTTGACTGTTATTAGGTAGTTTTGATTTATTTTTTGATGTTAACAGGGATCTTAATTTGGGTTTGATTTGAATACCGCTCTGTAATCAGCTTTTCGGAATATTTTCCTAAGTTTTGGTGAGAGACCGGGTACCCATGGTAAGGAAACTACAGGATAATTATTGATTTCAGATGGAATTGTAATTTTATTTTGTCTTTTGTGTTGAAACTGATGCGCAATATTCATCATTTGAGTTTTATCGTAACCATTTTCAATAAACACGTCGATTAGAAAATTTATTTCATTTTGCAAGTAAGACTTACTATAGATTGAGTAAGCTCGGTGGAGAAATCCTTTAAAAATAGAGTTCAAGATATTTGGATCATGATTTGAGTGTGGCTTAATTTGAATGTTAGTGATAGCATCTTTCCGATATACTGCGTATTCATACTTTCCTGTTTTTTTATTCATAATTTGTATATCCAGATAATTTAGTGTTCCTAACTCGTTTTCAACTTCAATTGTATACTGGATGGAAGGATGTTGTTGATTTAAAATGTATTGGAAATGTTTTGCTTGGTTGAGATCTGGAAACCTTGCGTGACTATCATCGACATCTCTTAAGAACGATTTGAGGTTAAGTGCAGGGTTGAAATTTAGTGCAACTTTAATTGCATTGTTTTCATGGAATTTTAGAAATGGTTCTGCAAGAACGACCTTGAACGAAAGTCCAATTGGACCCGAGTTTTCCATTATATGAATTTCATTGTTCCAATGAAAATAACATTGAAATAAACAAAGTTCTATAAGTTGTTTTATTTCAGGTATACTTAGTCTTGTTAATTTTTTATATGTTGTATTATTATTTAATTTTTCTATAAGTACAAGGGTGGCTTCTTTTAAAGGAACATATATAATCAAATGCAACTGTTCAAAAGTGTATGTAGGCGAAACAAAAATGAAAGTAAACACACGAATGCATCAACACCAAAAAAGCATTGATGAAAATAAGCAGCATCAATCCGCATTAGCTCTGCATAAAACATTTTGCAAAAAAGAAATTATTTGGGAACAAACAAAAACATTGAAAGTAGAAAATAAAAAATTTGAAAGAAAAGTTAGGGAAGCCCTAGAAATACAAAAAAACATGTGTTCTGCAAAAAACGGCGGGATTAATCTCGATGAGGGTCAATACGTAAAAACTAAGTTTTGGACGCCATTTTTTAAATTTTAGCGAAAAAGAAGCCATTCAACCGCTGACGTCAATAGCAACGTTTTAATTTAAATTATAACGATTTTATTAATTACTGTAACATTTAACAAGCTGAAGAAGCTGGTATCTAAAATCCAGCGAAAATTTCTATAATAATAAAAAAATTATAAGTGTTGAGAGAAATCGTATTTTTGATGTTTTAAAATAATATATATATATATATATATATATATATATATATATATATATATATATATATATATATATATATATATATATATATATATATATATATATATATATAAATATATATATATATATATATATATATATATATATATATATATATATATATATATATATATATATATATATATATATATATATATATATATATATATATATATATATATATATATATAAACACTATATGCAAGCACAATATAAAGACTAGAAATCAAAACACATACATGCATACGATTTTTAAATACTTTATATGCTTTTATGTTTAGTTAAACATTCATTGGTCAGGTCTTGGCAGATTGGATGATATTTGCTTATTTCAAGGTAGTTATTATTTAAACAATCGTGATTATTCAAGTATTCGAAAATGTTGTGAATAAAACTAAATTCTATATTTAAATATTTAATACTTATTTAAGCTTTATATGCGGCTGTGACAAAATAATTAGAGTACTGGCTAAAACTAAATATTGCAAAGTTCAAAGCTGACTCAAAGAAACCTTTTTACCTCTCCCAAGGATAAGGGTGAACTATTTGCAAAAAGCTTCTCTTCTAGTTTGGCTATTGAGTCTTATGGCCGTTATTTTCCTTCCATTCCGATTAAATAGGTTAAACGATTGTGAGTCACTCAAATCACTCCAGCTTCCGTTGGTAAAGTTATATGTTAATTAAACTCTTCTACGGCTTGTGGATCAGACAACAAGTCTGTCAAAGTCTTACAAAATTGTTTTTCAGAACTTTTTTCAATTTTTTCCAAACTAATTAATAAGTGCTTGGCTGAGTCTTGTTTTCCTACATGCTGGAAAATGGCATCTGTTGTTCTGATTTTCAAAAACTCTAATAAATATACTGACATCAGTGTTCGTTCTTTTATTAGCATCGTCTTTGAGTCTTCAATAAACAAATTTCTCACATCTCATCTTGAGCAACATTACTTGCTGTCAGACAACCAATACTGTTTTTGATTCTCTCCCTCCAACTCTGACTTCGTAAATGCTGTTGCTGAAAGATTTTATTGTGCATTAAACGGAGGCAGAGAGGCTATGTCTGTTGCTCTTAACATATCTAAGGCTTTCGACAAAGTTTAGCATATTGATCTTCTTCATAAAATTGTTTCATATGGTGTATCTTTGAAGTTTTTGAGATTATCAAACTTTTTCTTTCTAACTAATTTATTAAAGTCATCCTCAAAGGCCAACACTCTTCTTTATTTTCATTTACTTCTTGGGTGCCTCAAGGTTCTAATCTTGGTCCTATTTTGTTTATTATCTAAAAAAAAAGATCCTCCCGACAACCTTACATCTAAAGTAGCTTTTTTTTTGTTGATGAATGGTTACCCTCTCACTTAGTCCTTCTTCACGTCTTCTTTGATTATCATTTACTACTGACCTTTGAGGGAAACCATATATAAAATCAATTGCTACATTAGCATCTGCTAACGTTGCTTCTCTTTATCATGCTTGCCAATTTGTTTCTCCTGATTGCGTTCCTGATACCTTTACAAATCTTTTATTTTTTTCTGTATGGAATACTGCTGTCATAATTGGGCTGGTATTTTTGTTAGTGGGTTTGGTGAAAATGAATTTGGTTTGGCATTTTTGTTAGTGGGTTTGGTGAAAATGGATAAAAGAATATCTTAAAGTAGTAGGTAACTACTTTTTTAAGATATTCATTTAATCAATTGATACTAAAGAGTAAATTTTCATCTTAGATGAAAATCTACTCTTTAATAACAGTTGATTAAAAAAATACTTTAAAATACTATTTTTTAAAATAGTATTTGCCAAAAAAATTAAAGAAATTTTTTTAACACTTTTGATTTGACCCAATAATATGACTTACAAATGATTATATATAAATATATGTTATAATATAAACTATTTTGTAGTTAATAATAGTTATTTTTATCAGAGTATTTAAAATAAATTGTTTATAAATAAAGTTTCAATTTATTTTTTTTGACAAAAAAACCTTTCTTTTTGTTTGATTTCTTTGTTTGGAATCATTTACTTGTTTTCAACAATATTTTGCTGTCTGAAATTTGTTATGTGAATTTTCTTTTTTTGCACCTTTGAAACAAATTGTAATTATTTGCAATTAAATTAAGATTCAACAAACCAAAAAAAAAAACATTTTAAAAATATATTTTCATTTCCAACTCATTGATTAACGGTATACAAAAGAAAACAAAGTTTTTCATGATTACCATATAAATCCAACGTTTACTCAAGTAATTTCTTACTATTTTTTTAAGCAATACTGAAGTAAGTCTTTTTTTATAATCTATTAAGTTTTTCATGTCGAAAGAAAATTGACAAATCTGAAGTGCAGTTAAAATATTATTCCATTATCAGAAAAATGTCAGGTATCCTTAAGTTACACAAAAAATTAAAAAAAAAAATCCTCAATTCATTTTTTCCCACTAATGACTTTGTTTAGCGAATCCTTTCCCACTTTTCCACTTTCCCACTTTCCCACTAAACTTTCCCACTTGCCCACTTTCCAACTAATGTCTTTGTTTAGCGAATCGAAGGTTAAAGAGTTCTTAAAGGAGAAACTTGGAATTGAAAACAACATTGCAATCGAAAGAGCATACAGGACTGGGAAGAAGCACGTATCTGAAAAAAGAAGAAGAACTGTCGTGGTAAAGTTTCTTAACTATAAAGACAAAGAAATCGTATTAAATGAGAATAAAAAAAGAAAGCTATGGAACGAAAAAATATATCTCAACGAAGACTATAGCAATCGCACAATCGAAAAAAGACGATTTCTGTTTACAAAAGCAAAAGAACTTCGAGCTGAGGGTAAGTTTGCTAAAGTTGTATATACCAAACTTCTAACGCGCGCCTCAGAAGTATAAGAAATTCTTTTAAATCAGCACATAAAAAATGATAACAACAAAAAATATAAAATAGATGACTATGAATCACTTATTTTCAACTTTAGAAACAAATACATTGGATCTGATGAAAACACAGATCCAGATATTAATTATTTTAATGACTTAAAAGTAGATTGCTTTTATCATTATGCTAGTGAGTTAAAAGAATTTCTTTCTAAAAATGGCGATGAAAACAAAAAAATTAGAATTGTTCACATAAATATAAGAAGTATGACCAAAAATTTTGAAAATCTTTGACATTTTATAGAAGAAACTAAAAACTATTTTGATATTATTTGCTTAACGGAAACTTGGTGTTCACAAAATGAGCTTAATAATAACTCTAATTTCTATCTTTCTAATTTTGAAACAATTTTATTAGAAAGACAATAAAATAAACGCGGTGAAGGAATTCTGATTTACGTAAAACAAAACATTGCGCATAACGTTAGGAATGATTTGAGCGTTTCTAACGGCGATAAAGAAATCGTTACAATAGAAATTTTAAACAATAAAAGCGAAAAGTTAAAAAGCAAAAGCATTCTACAAAGTTGTTGTTATAGACCACCTGGTGGTGCGTCAAAAAATTTAAGCTTATACTTAAAGCACAGCGTTTTTCATAAAGGTAACGAAGGAAAGAAAAAAAACTTTGTAATTGGCGATTTAAATATGAATTGCTTACGATATAGCAAAAACAAAAAAATAAAAAAATTTTATGATGAAATATTTGTATCAGGAGCAATACCGCTTATCAACCGGCCTACTTGAATAACAGAAAACTCAACCACCCTTATAGACAATATTTTAACAACAAATATATATAACAATGACATTCAAATAGGCATTATAAAATCAGATATATCAGACCATTTCTCCATTTTTCTAACAATTAACACAATTTCAACTCCTAACATTAATTAAAAGTCAAACTATAAGAAAACGTATTTTTAACAAAAAAAATATAGAAGCATTTAAATATCAGTTATCATTGTTAAACTGGAAGCATATAAATTTTAATGAAGACATAAATGCAATCTATAATAAGTTCTTTAATACATTCTTCTCGGTGTACGATGCGAATTTTCCCGTTTCCGAAATAACCTTAAAACCAAAAACCTTAACTAGTCCTTGGATTACCAAGGGTCTCAAAAAATCTTCAAAAATTAAACAAAAATTGTATATAAAATATTTAAAAACAAAATCTCATGCCAATTTACGTATATATAAAAATTACAAAACTCTATTTGAAAAAATTCGCAAAAACCTAAAAAAAAATTATTACTCTAATTTAATCACTAAACATAAAAATGACTCAAAACAAATATGGAAAACACCCGACGGGCATTTGTTTTTAAAAGTTACTATCTAAACGTATTTTAAATGTCTTTTAAACGTCTTTTAAGCATTAATGTTTGAAAGACGTTAAAAAGACGTTTAAAACACATTTAGAACGTAATTTTTAAAAACAAATGCCCGTCGGGTATTGAAAGAAAGAACGGGAAAACAGAAAACCTGTTCAAATTTCCTTCCAAAAATGATTAAGATAAACAATGTATGTGTATATGAACCAAATGAAATACCGAAAGAATTTAATAAACACTTTACTGATATCGGAAGTAGGTTGGCTGATAGGATTCCATCTACAAATATTTCCTTTAATGATTTTTTGACAACTTTAAATAATTTACTTCCTTCCCATGACTTATTCCTAGACTTATCAATTGAAGAGTTTGAAAGAGCCTTCAAATCTTTAAAAAATTTCTATCCTTCCTACGTTTTCAAAAATATTAGAAAAAATTATCTTCGAAAAAACATACAACTACCTGGTTTTAAATAATTTACTATATAAAAATCAGTTCGGCTTTAAAAAAAATAGTTCAACTAAACAAGCCATTATTCAATTTACACTTGAAGTCTCAAATTCTTTTGCTAAATCACTATATACACTTGGTGTTTTTGTCAATTTATCAAAGGCTTTTGATACAGTCAATCATGATATCTTACTTAAAAAACTTGAGTTTTACGGAATAACTGGTAAAATGATCAAATGGTATAAAAGCTACTTGTCAAATAGAAAGCAATTCGTCTACCACGGAGAAGAATTGCTTCCTATTTATCTTTAAAATAAAACATTATTTGAAATAAAATGTCGTGTTCCACAGGGTTCTACCCTTGGCCCACTTCTCTTTTTAGTATACGTCAACGATCTAAATAAGGCCTCGAATCTTATAAGCATCATGTTTGCCGACGATACCAATTTATTTTTGTCAAACAAAGACATTAACAAACTTTTTTTAGATATGAATAAAGAACTTAATCAAGTTTCTAACTGGTTTAAATTCAATAAATTAACCTTAAATATTGAGAAAACAAAGTGGATCCTTTTCCACTCCTCAACAAAAAAACGCTTTTTGCCTTATGATTTACCTAAACTTTATATTGACAAAGTAGAAATAAAAAAAGATTCCGTTTTAAAATTTCTAGGTTTTTATCTTGACGAAAATATGACATGGAAAGCTCATATTGATTATATATCAACAAAAGTTGCGAAAAGTATTGGTATCCTCTATAAGGCCAGAAATTATCTAAATGAAAATAATTTAAAACAACTATACTACTCATTTATTCATAGCTATATAAACTATGCAAATATTGCCTGGGAAAACACAGGTCAAAGAAAGTTGCAACGTCTTTACCGCCATCAGAAACATGCAATGCGAATAATATATTTTTTAAATCGTTTTTCAAATACAAAACCTTTATTTAAAGATATGAATTTATTATACGTTTATGAACTTAACTTGTAAAATATTTTATGTTTTACGTTTTGTTGTATAAATAACCCCTTATTTCATGTTTTTAAAGATCTATTTACCTTTAAAGTAAAGAATAAATATAATTTGCAAAATAACAACTATTTAAAAGTACCCTTTTGTCAAACAAATTTTAATTAATTTTGTATAGATTATCGAGCACCTTATCTGGAATAAAATTGTACAGCTTAATTTAGATTCATCTATCTTTTTTTCTGTTTTTAAAAACAAGTTAATGAATATGATTTTTTCTACGGATAATATATTGAAATATTTTTGTGATATTATTTTAACCATTTCTTATTTCAAATGTTTTGGATTCTTATTTTGTTATAAACTACCTGTATTATACTATATTATATTTATATTGTAATTTTTATAAGGTTCTGGCGACAAGATCGATATGATCTTCTTCCAGATTCCAAGCTTATATGTTTATATTAAATGGATATCACGACATGTAAATAATGTAAACTAGAAAAAAAAAAAAAAAAAAAAAAAAAAGTTTATTTGCCCTTGGTTTACTCTTGAAAACTGGAGCTACTCATGGATTTTAACAGATATAACAGTATTATAAACTTTTTTAACAGATTTTTGATTGGTCCAAAAGCAGAAGCTAAATTTTTTTTTTTTTTTCATTTTAAAATCAAAAACTTTAATACTAAAATTTTTTGATTATTTTACGTGGTGAACCACATTTGTGTATGTTGTAACACACTTGTGTATTTTTTATTTATGCCTCATATATAACACAGTTTGTAAAAATGATATTTAGTCCTCTTTCTATACAAAAACTATATATCAAGAAACTACAAAATATAAATATTTAAAGTGTTTTGTAAAGTAATATTGTTATCGTTTTTATTTATCTCTTAATATATCATTATTATTTTGAAGTTTAACATTTTATGAATTCCATATTATTGAATATCATATTGTTGTCATATAAAACAATCTGATACACAATATAACATTCATATATAACACTTAAATAAAACTGATTTAAATTTAATTTTATTATCGCTGGTATACGCAAGAGATTCTTTCTCTATAGAGCAGTGCCCGTCATAGTATTTATAGAAAAGAGAAATAGAAACAACATTACAACAATGTAATAAAAGTTAGAGATTAGCTGCGAGAGCAGGTTTAACTATGTTCACAATGCTTTTTTGCACCTTTTCTAAAAGAGGAAGGGCGACATTGGAAGATTCATCCCAGATACAGCAACAGTATTCTATACAAGGATGAATTCTGAGAAAGAAAGCAGCGAGCACGATAATGGGGAAGAAATTTTAACATATTCTAAATTTGATATTTGGTTTCTAAGAAAGATTTTATCGATATTTATGTTTTTAAGAGTTAATTCTAGAAGAAGAAGGGTAGATGTTTCAATTTATTACATTAACATTTTTATATATAGGAAGATCTAGATTATTGCAACAGTAATAAGCTGAAAAAAATAGTTTTGATTCACCAATTTTTGATTTTAAAAAAAAGTTAAGATTCACCAGCCACAGCAAGATCCACGCTGTAGCAGCAGTGAAATCTATTTTAAGCTTAAATTTCCTCTTCCTCCCCAAAGATATCAGAGTGTGTTGGCTTTTTATCAAGACAAAAACAGGTAGTGGTATTATCAGTGAACAATGTAACCTTAGATGTAAGAATATTTAAAGAATCGTTAATGTAAGTTAAAAAATATATAACCAAGAATAGAACCTTGAGGATACACTGAATTTACAAGATATGAAGAAGAGTGCTGTCCATTGAAGACAACTTTTATACTAGGAATGGTAAAAAAGGACTTAATATTCTTGAAGATGTTACCTGATACACCATACAAAGAGAGCTTATAGAAAATACCAGCATGATAAACTTTATCAAAAGCTTTAGAAATATTGAGAGTGATAGCCTTAGACCTCCCCACATCTTTCTAATGCACAGTAAAACCTATTAGAGTTTACCATTAAGAAATCCGCAGTAGAATGAGATGATAAAAATCCTTACTTATGGTCAAAAAGTTATTAAATACAAGATGATAGATTAGGTGTTAATCAAAGATTCAATAGCCTTGCTTATGATAGGAAGAAGACTAATTTAGATAAAGAAAGAGGGCTTTGTCAATTTGATAAGAAATAACATCAAAAAGAGTTCAGCCTTGAAATGAAGAAGAGAAAAATTAAAACATAACAAAAAAGGCAATGGAGTGAAGTGGTGCTAATCAAAAGTATATAAAAGAATAGTCTGTAGAATCACATCTAGTTTCCCAAGAAATAAATAAATTCTTACAAATGTAAATGCCCTCTGCCGTTTAATCTTTAGGAATTAAAGGAATTTAACTATTATCAGTAAGATCACAAAAAAGACAACTGAACTTAAATAAGTCTCACACAGAGCAACAAGGTCTGCTGAACTTTGCAAGAGATAAGATTTAATGGAAGAAAAGGTACTTCGAAGATCACAAATATTAGTGAATGATTGATTTAGTGAACTTGGTGATGAAAATGGTTTTTGAGTTTTATAATTATTAGAACATTATTCAACTTTATATTTGTTAAAGAATTTGACTCAAAGCACAGACAGAACTTAGTTCTTTATTTAATAGTCTAAGCATTTGCCTCGTTACTATAATAAACCCTAAGCAGTAACAAAGAACTCTAAATGTGTCTTTGCCAATTCACACCAAAAGTATGAACTAGGGTACCATCTATGCACAAAATTGCACTTTTAGTACTCTATTATTTTATAGCTGTTTATAGAATCAGCCTAAAAGCCACCACAGAATTCGAAAACCTGACTACCAGCTGGTCTCAAAACCAGGAAAAACTGGATTTTAGAGCTGTACCTATTGTTTAGGAATAACAAATTGAATTGCCCAATGATAAAAACAGTGACACAAAAAAAACCTATGATTTGGATCAAAAAAATGTAGCATTTAACACCCTAATCTGAAAACAGTATTATAAATACAAGTATATCGGCTTAGTAGATAATAAAGAAGTGCAAGGCTGGTTGTTATTGTTCCTTTATTCCTTGGCCTAAGTTGGATCTTTTATTTTCAATTGTATACATTAAAGTAAAGTATTAAAAAGAATAAATGATATTAGGCAGTAATTTATAGGAAAAAATAACTATAACTTTAAATTTCTTATATATCAAAATTTTTTATAAAACATTTAAATGGCTTTAAATCTACTATAAAGAACATTTACATTTATTTTCACAACAACTAAAATTCATTTTCCGTACAGAAAAGAAATGCATAAAAATATTTATTGAATCTTTTGTTTTTTAGTTTGTTCTGCAGGTTTTGGTTTTGATGATTCAGTTAAAAAATGCATAGGTAAGTTTTTTTGAAGTTGTTGTTAAATTGATATATATATATATATATATATATATATATATATATATATATATATATATATATATATATATATATATATATATATATATATATATATATATATATATATATATATATATATATATATGTATATATATATATATATATATATATATATATATATATATATATATATATATATATATATATATATATGTATATATATATATATATATATATATATATATATATATATATATATATATATATATATATATATATATATATATATATATATATATATATATATATATATATATATATATATATATATATATATATATATATATATATATATATATAATTCTCACTTTGTTTTCAATGGCAAGTTATCTTCTATGCTACCCCGTAAATATTTAATTCTAATATTTGTTTTGTTTCAAAAGAAATAAACTTACCTAGAATTTTTTAAAACTAAATAATCACAGGACGTTTTGCCCCACACTTTAAAGGGCATTTTCCTTCACCCAAAACTAGCAAATAAACTAATTTTATTGATTAAGTCTTAGAATTTTTATACTTTGAATATGGTGGAATAAATTACCCACAAACAAACATTTTTTTATTATAATCACACAAATAACAATAGTACATTAAACTAATTTTTTTACCTTTTAGTGGAGCAAGATGTTCCGAAAGTCATGTCCCTTGTGCATTTGTGAGACCTAGATTAATACTGGTTAAATACTTATATTCTATTGTTTTGAATTTTTATTTATAGAGTTATATTTTTTTTTGTAATTTACAAAGAAAATCTTTTGAAAAGTTATAACTCAAGTAAAACCAATTTTTGTTGAATATGTAAATAGATAAAACAATATAATATAAATGGAATTAAACAATATTATTAAAATGCTCAGTGGCGTGAGTTTTGGACATCTTTCCCCACCTTATCCTAAAGATTAAAAAATAAAAAGCTAAAGCAGAGAAAACAATTTAAAAAAGAAATGAAATGAAAAAATTAAACTTTAAGGTACAGAGTTCCATGAGCGAGAAGACTGCGTCAAAGTGAGTAATTTTAGTACATATCGTACATATACATGCGATATATATGTACAATCTTTCTTACTGTAAATTTTGTGATACAACAAAGGAAACTGAATATATATATATATATATATATATATATATATATATATATATATATATATATATATATATATATATATATATATATATATATATATATATATATATATATATATATATATATAAATATATATATATATATATATATATATATATATATATATATATATATATATATATATATATATATATATATATATATATATATATATATATATATATATATATATATGTGTGTATATGGCACAAGAGATGCTAGCTCTTTGGAGCCTGTTATAGTGCTTGTAGAAAAGAGAAGGAGAAGCAACATTACAACAATGTGAAAATGGTTGGAGTTTGGCTGCAACAGCTCGTCAAACTTTCTTTACAATGCATTCTTTCACCTTGTCTGAAAGACAAGAGCATCATCTGCCTCAGAAATGGCAACAATATTCTATGCAAGGATAAATTTGATACTTATAGAGATAAAGAATAGAATCCGGAGAAAGAAAGTGTCAAGAAAAATAAAGAGATGCAACCTAAGCTTATGCAAATTTTACAATGGATTTGATATATGGTTTCCAAGTAAAATCAAAAGTTAGAATTAATCAGAGGAGATGAAGGGTAGGTGACTCGTCAAGTAGATTACCATTTATAAATAAAGGAAAATTGAATTTAAATCATTTATGTAAGGCTAAAAAAAGTTTGGTTTTATTCAAATTAATGTTCACCAGCCGCCTATGAGCCCAATACTGTAGCAGAAGTGAGATTTTTTTTTCATGCTCAATCAGAGAGTGTTTGTTTCTTATCAAGACAAAGAAAATAGTAGTATTTTAGCGAATAATGCCACCATAGATCTGAGAATATGTGGAAGATTGGTAATGTAAATTAAAAAGAGTATAGTGCCAAGAACTTTGAGAACCCCTGAAGTTGCATGACTCAAAGTAAAGTGCTGTCCCTTGAGGACAACTTTTATACTACGATTAAAAAGAAAGGTTTCTAATGTTTTAAGAATGTTACCTGATACATCGTTAGAAGATAGTTTATGGAGAAGACCAGCATGCCAAACCTTATCAAACGCTTTAGAAATGTAAAGAACAATAGCCTTAACCTCTCTACCTCTATGTAATTTATAATAAAACTTATTGGTTGTTTACCGTTAGCAAATCGGCTAAAGAATGAGAAGATAAAAATTAATATTGATGATTAGAAAGTAAGTTATCAGATTCAATATAAGAAACTAGATGATAGTTAATTAAAGATTCAAAAACCTCGCTTATAATAGGACAAAGTCTAATTGGATGGTAGTTAGACAAATCTTTGCATCGGTCTGCTACAGATGGAAAACATTTAGATTAACGGTTTTGCATCACTTGCTTAACTTTTTAGTGGAAGGTGATTATCTGTGGAAGAACTCATCAGTGGAAGAAGATTGAGAACTTTGAGACTTCAAAAATACTTTTCTCAACAAAATTATTTTTTTTTTACAACAATCATCAGTGGAAGAACAAAATGATCATCATGTTATCAAATAATATTTTGTTTGATAAACACTAAACAGTTTTTATTTATTAAAAGCTCTAATTAAGAGACTTTAATAATCAGGTTTGCAAAATTGCTGTCTAGAAACATAACTCACCCTTGGTGCATTTTTATTTAATGACACAAAAAATGAATTATGTTTCTAGGCAGATTGTTGATTAATTTATAAAGATATAATTATTAAACTTTAAGTATTAAACTGAAGAAGTTAAAAAAAAAAGCGCGTCAGCATCTTTAATCGCATTATATGTTTTTTGTTACCTTAATTTCACTGTTTTAAAGTTCCATCTTTTCTTTTTTAATAAACGAAAATAAGGTTGACACAGCTTACGTCATGCTTAAATCTAAAAGTTTATTAGATGTCCATCAATCTTTGAGTTTAAAAAAAAAAGTGAATGAAATCCCTTAACATAATTTATGTTTAGGTTTTATTTTCCCTAAACATTTTTTAGCTGGGTTTTCTTTTGCCTTGTATATTTTATCTTGTTTAATTAAAATGCAAACTGCTTTAGTTAATTTATTTTTATTAAAGTTTTTTGAAAGGTAACGGTATCTGTGAAAACCTAAAAACTAAATCTTTATAACTTGTTTTTTTAAGCTAGTAATATTTTCTAGCGCATTAAGTTTAAAGACTTTAGTGGCTTTAAATTCTATTCTTTTTTTCTAGTAACTCTCAACTTAATAGTGGTTGCTTGCAGCCTTGTTGATAGTGAATCATAATAAAAAAGTTAAAAAAAAAGGAAATTTTTTATGCATCAAATGATTTAAAAGCAAGATTTTATAGTTTAACTAAAAAGGCAAAAAAATTATACCACTCATGATATTTTATAAGTGGGCTTTTTAGTATACTTGTATGTTTGTATTCCTTGGTGCAATGCAATACACCCCTCAAAAGTAACTTGAGATGTATGTTTGTGCCTTATTTATATATTATAATAACTTATTAAATAGAAACATTTTTTGCATTAAATATATATTAAAAAAACAACAATAAAGTTCAACATTTTTGCAAAATACTTTGCAGTTCCTGAAACAAGAAAAAAACAGTTTCACAAGTTGTGCGTGACATACTTTGCTCACTTTTTTTGCATGCTTTTTCCTATACGTTTTTTCAAAAAAAAAAAGAAAAAACTATGATTGCTGATCCAACCCAATCCTTTAGACGATATAGTGGCGATGTATTATATTATTAGTATGATTTTATCAAATATATATATATTATCAAATTTTATTATTATATAAATATAATTTTATGTTTAAAAGCTCAAATATTTTTTTGCAGCAACATCAACAGAACCCCCTAAAAATTTCTCAACAGATTTTTTGACAACAAAAGTAACTGAAGTAACAACAACAAAGACCAAAGATCCGACTTGTAAGAATATAGAAAAAATTAAATTTTTTCTTTAATATTTTATTTGCATTAATTTTTATTTTCTTTAAGTAGACATATTTATATATATTTTAGAGAGCATGTGAAGTCCTAATACTGGGACTTTGATGAAGACGTTTTTGTTTTCATGTGTTGATTTATTTAACAACTACATGGAAATATTAAAACATAAATTTTTCTTAATATTTTATCAATTATACTATTTTTATCAATTATATACTTTTTTTAATTTTTTTGTTTAACAATATTTTTTTTCTTATTTTACAGATCGTCTTATCCTGAACATTGCTACTACATTAGTTACTGGAAAAATTCTTAAATTTCTATCAAAAATTGAAAAAGAATACTTAGTATCATTAGATTACTATCCAAACTCATATCCTGACTATGGTTATTATTCTATTATTCGTTTTACTACTACTAGCGGAATAAATTATGGTTATAATGGATATCACGTTCCTAGCATTTATTTACATTCAAGTGGGATCTTGCAGATTGCAAGTTCCATTAATGGAAACGGAATCAGATACTATGAAACATATCCTATTGCACTAAAAGAATGGATAAGTATTGAAATAAGCCAAACATTGATATGTGGTGATTATGTATATAGAATAAAATTAAATGGCAATTATGTTTATTTACAAATCAATTTTCAATCTCAAAATTATAATAATGTTATAGTATATGCTTCAGATTTGTCATGGCCATCAGATGGGTTAATTAAAAACCTATATGTTTATACTGGTAGCACATGTAAGAGTTTTTCTTGAACATCTTGATTTGTAACATAAATCGGAGTTTCACGCTTTATGCGATCATCAGACGTTTTAAACAACCTAAACAACAACAAAAATTATATACAAAAATACAATACAGTGTTGGCTTAAATGACTTTAAAGTTGTAGATAAGAAATATGTTTTCGTGGCAAATTAGATATTAATTCATTTCTTTTATTTAATAGTTTCAAAGGTGATGTAATGATATGGTATTTTTCCGTTAAACAAAGGTTACATACATCTTCCAGGTTTAAAAGGTTCCGCCCTATCAATAATCTTCCACGTAGTAATAGGATATGAAAATCTTTTTTTTTTTACATTTCCTAGATATATTTAGAAAGTTCTGTGAAATTAGTATTACTTTCGTATTGAAATGAGTTCTTATGCTTGTACCAGCAAATTTTAAAGGAGTGCTCTGTTAAACCAATATAATTTAAACCGCTATCCTGCGGTAATGTTTTTACATTGCAGACGTAAATTATATTTTTGCTAAGACACGTACCTTGCAAAGGACATCGTGTTTTCGAAATTTCTGTAAAGTGCCTGGCGTTAATAAGGGAAATTTGAAGTAATTCTTTAGAGATAGAATGATAGAACTCTTTGATATCAAACTGGATGAAAGTGCAGTTGTGTTTGTTTTTAATATTGCGGAATCAACTTTTTACATCATTGGTATTATGCCATTGATTTACAAGGGTGATTTTTCTCACTTTATTATTGATGTTTTCTAGTAAATTTTTACATCTGGTTTAGATGGATTAATTAATCGACATTTAATATTGTTAGCAAAATCATTTTTATAATCTTTTATCGATTTAAACGGAGTATTAATTACAAGACGTTCCATCCTATTATCAATGCCTAAGTTTTTAGCAATTACTTTAGCCGTACTATTAATGTTATTATATGGCGAATTATCAGATTTTTTGTAAGTTCTGGTTACGTTTTCATTAAAAAGAAATTTCAGAAGACACATTAGATATTAGAAATTTCAGGAAACACATTAGATTTCAGAAATTTCAGAAAACACATTAAATATTCTTAATGAGGCTGAAGTGTGCGAGTAAGTTGGACACTGCGTTTTATATACTTTAAGTCAGGATTATGGGTTTAAAACCGTTGGATTAATTAGAAAGGATGAGCTTTGTTGTTTCATGGAATTAATGGACTGCAATCGAAGAGAATAAAAAAAAACATTGTTCATCTTTTAAAGGAGAAGTTTAATTTAAAACTTACAATAAAAAACAACTTAAAAATTGTAAAAGTTTTCGATGTTATCTTCAAACTGCTAGAAAATAATTTCCAACTATACTAAAAAATAGGTTACGACCCATTATACATTAACGTAAATTCTAACCACACTCCTAATATTATTAATCCTATACCAACTTTGATATCTAACCGTATTAACAATATTTCACCTAGCAAGGAAGTTTTTGATACAGCAACATCGTTTTATAACAATGCGTTAGCAGCAAGTGGGTTTAATTAAAAGATTACTTTCCAAAAGAAATAGCCTGATCAAAACCAAAATCAAGATCACGAAATATTAATTGGTTTAATTATCCGTTTTCGGCAACCTTTACAATGTCCTTTGCAAAGTACCTGTCTTAGAAAAATACAATTTACGTCTGCAATGTAAAAGCATCACGGCAGAATAGTGGTTTAAGTTATATTGGTTTAACAGAGAACACCTTTAAAAATCGCTGGTGCAAGCATGAGAACTCCTTTCAATACGAAAGTTAAGCTAATGCCACAGAACTTTCTAAATATATCTGGGAAATGAAATAAAAGGGGCTTTCATATCCTATTATTACGTGGAACCTTTTAAACCTGGAAGAAAGTTATGAATCCTTTGTTTAACAGAAAAATAGCATATCATTACCTTATCTTTGAAACTGATAAATAAACAAAATGAATTAATATCTAAATGTCGCCACGAAAACATATTTCTTATCTGCAGCTTTAACGTCATCTAAGCCAACACTTTGTTGTATTTTTGTATATAATTTTTGTTGTTGTTATGGTTGTTTGTAACGTCTGATGATTGCGTGAAACTCCGATTTATGTTACAAATTTAATTGTGTTTTATTATTATCCTAAGATAATATATATATATATATATATATATATATATATATATATATATATATATATATATATATATATATATATATATACATATATATATATGTTATTTATTTAATAAAAGTTCAAAAAACAGGGTTAATATACATTAAACACCAAAATTTATTACTATTCGATTAAGTGAGAGTAAATTTATTCCTTCACAAATTAGAGATCATCTTTTTAACATAATAGTTAAAGATGTTTTAAGTTTGTAAAGAGCAAGTTAAACAATTTTTTAGTTTTCAAATATTGTTTTATAAAGTATTATTTTTATCTAGAAGTTATTCTTTCTATTTTTTACAATTTAAGTAAAAATTAAAAATTTTTTTCGATTGTAGTTATTAAATCAAATCTAAATATAGAAACATAAATATAAAAACATATAGTTAAATATATAAAGCTTTCTTATTTAAAATATATTTATATTATAAATTGCGCAGGAGTTTGATTAACTTGTTGCAGCAGAACATCCTGCGTGACTTGTTTGGTAATTAAGAACAAACCATTTTGTATGATACTGTGACAAAAAAAACCGCCGAATAAGGTTTCTGAGTTTCTCCAAATCTAACCCACAATAAAATTTTTTGTTAAGTTAGTAAAAAGTTTTTTCGTAGTTTTTTTCCCCTAAATGCGTTGCAATTACTGTAGCTATAGAGCTTTGTTGTCCTAAATCTAGTTGGTAGATTAAACAGATCAATCTGGTTTAGCATAAAATAGTAATTTACCAAGATATAGTGTAAAGCTATTTTAGTGTAAAAATTTTAAGTCCAATTGTTTAACAATAAAAAGTTTAATTTTTTTAGCAACATCAACTGTCCTTCCAAGCACTGTTGCAATGAAATCTACAACATCCGCTATTGAAGCTCCAACTAAAACTGGTGCTCCAACAACTACTAAAAATTTTACATCTATACCTGAAAGTTCAATAACATCTACATTCTGTATGATTAAAAATGTTATAGTTTATAATAATAATGTTATAGTTTATACTAATGCATTTATAGTTTATATTAATATTGTTATAGTCTATATTTATAATGTTATAGTATATACTAACGCAGTTATAGTTTTTATTAATATTGTTACAGTTTATACTAATAAAGTTATGGTATATATTAATAAAATTATAGTTTATGTTAATTATGTTAAAGTACATAATGTTATACTATATAATAATATTATTATTTACTAATAATCTTATAGTTAAGCATTTGTTTAATATGAGATTAATTCGATTAGTTTTGTCTTCACTTCTTTTTTTTTAGAGCAGAAAACATTTGAAAATTTTACTTTGAGAATAAAGATCGTTTCAAAATTTTGATAACCTTAATGTATCAAAATAAAATAAAATAACAATTAATTACACTAGATTAAACAGAACATAATCCAGTGTAATTAATTATTCATCTTTAACCAGTTTTGTACCATTAAAATGATAAAAAGTTTATAAATAAAGATCTTTATTATGAACTAAAGAAAGATCCTAAACAATTTAGACTTTGACTAAGATATAAAAAGGTTTATAAATTTCTTAGCATTTTTGTATTTTGTTGTTAATATTAAGAATAGAAAAATTATTAAAATAACTTGATTAAGTAATTAATAACTTATATTATTTATTATTTAGTTAATATATACTCTATTTCAAGTTTGTTATTCATTGAATTTGATCTTTAAACAATTTCATCATTAATTAAATTCCTTATCGCTATAAACATGTAATTGTATTTTAAAAGCACATTAGAAAATAAAAAGTTTGATGTATATCATACCAAAATGTAATAAAAGTATACAAGTTAGCAGTTTTGTCATCAATAATAATAACTCTTTAGTTTATTATCAATAATATTATAAACAATTTTTATTATAATAAATAATAAGTATTCAAAAAGAAGCTTTTTCTAAAATTATTGCTTTGTCGAGAAGTTCATTTATGCATTTACATAGTCATAAAAAAGAGAGTCTGGAAGCAAACAATGACAAATTGTTTTAACTTATTATATGCAATATTTCCTATCCCCAGATCTCTGTACTCTGTACTCAATTCAGCACAAGTTTTAAAAAATAATGTTGTTTATCTAATAAACTAATTATTTTTCTTGAAAAAAATCAAGTTATATTGCAAATGCCCATTAAAAACTGTGCAATTTATGGATGTTCTGCCTCATGAAGATATACTGGCGTTGTTTTCTTTAATGTTCTTATAAATATGGACGATTTTACAAAAAAATGGGTTTCAGAATTAATTAACATTAAATAAAAGATCGAGTTGTTGGAAATATTTTTGCAAAAAAATAAACAGTTTTGAGCATAAAAAATGGTGAATTTATGAGCTTGACTTTTCCCCTAAGCAAATTTGGTATTATGAAACAAAAAAAAAATTAAAAGCCTGAGAACTATTATCAAATTTACCAAAAAAAGAGTTTCGAATAGTCAGCATCATATGGTATTATTGGATACTCATTGTCAATATTTAAGCAAGAAAATTCTCAATTAATTCTTGAAAGTTCTTCTTTCACATTATTATAGAAATTTTGCTGACTTCAAAAAACGTTTTCTGTATTTATCTTTATTAAATAAGTTATGGAAAATTGAGTTTTTTGATAATTATTGTTATTCTTTATTCAAGTTTTTAGAAGAAGTGATTCCAAAATTTGAAATTTTTTTGTAAGATTGCTTATATTTTAGTATTCATGTGTATGGATGGATGTTACCTGAAACACTTAATTTATATGTAAAATATAAAAGGTCATTTCTAAATGTGGTTTTTTCACAGTTTGTTTTGAAATAGAATCTTCAGATTTTCGCAATGGAATAAAAGTTCTTGATCCTATTAAAGTATTCTTTTTTCAGAAGCATGTTGTTCTTAAAACTTTTGATTACGTTGCTGATAAATATTTTTTATTATAGTCTAACCTGCATCAAAATGAGTTTTATCGTAGCGACTCTTGTGAGTTATTATTTTGTGAATTATTATTAGCCTTGCAAGTTTTGTAAATTTGCCTCGCAGATTTTGTCATGAATTTAATGCTGAAGTAAATTCTGATTAATATTCTAATAATTCTAGTAAACTCATTCTAAAAGATCTATTTTAAAGACTCCTGCTAAATTAAACGCGTAAATCTGTGTAACTTCTCCTAGTAGACTTAAACTGACTTTGTAGCAATGCAGACTTTAATGCAAGCAGTACAAAGAGGAAATTGAACTAATGAAATCTGCTTTAAATATATGTAAAAAGAAAATTCGTTCAGAACTTAGTAAAGACTTAATCTCAATTTATTCAGCTAGTGACCAAAAAAACATCCACTGTTTATGAAGTTGTTTTGAAAAGACCAGCAAAAGTATTTGAGTTGCATAAATATTTGAGTTGTTCCAATTTTTCATCTCTCAAATACCACCCCGCAATAATAAAATATTGTCTAGATCTAGCTGATACATCACTATCTGCTTAAAGCAGTTTGCAATATGATCCAAAGACACGTTTAGGCATTTTACCTCTTCCGAGCTTATAAACTTTAAGAGATTACAAAAGTTACAAGGTGACCTTGCAAAAAAAAAACACAAAATTTAGGTAAGGTAAATAATTTAAATTATAATATACAAAAATTCCTTTTTTTTGAAAAATTATTTTGGTGTGACATTTTTTACACATGTGTGTACGTATACAGGTGCGCATTAAAGATGGAGTGTCTGGGTCAGCGAACGCCAGACAGCACATTTATGGGACATAATCAGAAAATAAAAAGAATTACTAGAGAAACATTATCAGAAGGAAATATTGATAATGAGTCATAAAGAAATCAAAATTTTTTATTATATTTTGATTTTCTATTTTATTTTGATGCAGTCTGATTGAAAAGACCAACATCAAAACATGAAATAGAAACAAACCTATAAATTGGTATAGGATTTTTCTATATATAAACAATTTATATAATCTTATAGCATTTTAAATTATCTGATACAATCATTTATTTTTTGATTAGTATTTATACTATGGAAAATTAAATGGATTTTAATTGATCAAATAAAAATTCTTTAATACATAATTTATATACAAAACATATAATTAAAAAGAAACTAATACTCTTTTTTTATTGAACAGCATATTAATATCAACTTGTTTATTTAAAAAAAACTAAGATGTTTTAGCCATAACATTTTAATTATATTCGTGGCGATAAATATAGCCATTTTGCATCTTCTAAAGCAAATTGGCGATGAATCAAAGACCAAATTTATGAATCAACTACATTGCTGCACGTCACTTTTTAAACCTGTGTGCTTATGAAAGATTTACGTGCTTGTAATTTTTTGATTTGATGTTTCTCATGAATATTATTGGAAAGGTTTCTTACCCTTGTAAACAAAACAAGCATACTTTCAAGAAAAAAGATATTTTTTTATCGTTTTGCACTTCAATACTGTCACATATATTGTTTAAGCTACTTATAACCAATGAGTCCTTAAGCATTTTATTAATTAGAGCTTTGCTGTTAAAAAAAGTTACATGAAAGTTTCTTTGTTTACAAAAATTTGTTTTAGATTGTATAATGATTTTTCGAGTATAGATGTTATTTTTA